CATTATTTGTAATGACAGAGGTAATGACTAATGATATCAAAGTAATACAAGCAGGTAATAAAAGTGTTGGCATGTTCATCAATCTCAAAATCTCAGTCAATGCCTCAGCAACTCCACTTTGAGTAATTGCTGCCGCAATTCCAAAAGATGCTCCAACCAATGTCACTAATCTCCATTCCACACAATCAACTGCTCTCGTTGGTGTTATCAATCCAAATGCAACGACTGCACAGAATGTCACAAGTGTACATTGAACCATTGGAAATCCAGCAATGGCGCATCCAATCATTGCTAAAAAGAATGGGAAAATCCAATGTTCCCACCACCACAAATCTAAAATGATTTTAGTGAAGGGAATTCTGAATAGAAATGGTTTTTGTTTGAATTGGTTGTAATCTGGTGAGATTTCGTTAAATCTTGTAATGAGATAGAAATCCTTTGAATTGTCATGATTATTATGGTAGAAAACACTTTTACCCAAAATTAGAATAGTATCACCACAATATACTGTTTTGCAATTGACGTGTGAATCCTTATCGTTGGTTTCTTTAGTATCAATTGAGGAGGAACCAACTTGTCTGATGGCTAATACTTTGACTTGATATCTTCTTTCGAATTCCAAATAAGTTTCTCCTAAACATGGATTTGAAGCTCCAATAACAACCTGGAAGAATTCAGGTTCATTTTCTTGAATTTCAGATTGATTAGTTTTAGATTTTTCATTGGAGAGAGCTGCATCTCCATAATTCTTCTTGATATTATGATGTAATTGATTAGTGACTGGATTTTCAGCTTGTGGTGATGTTGTTGGTGAATCAATTAAATGGTCTTGAGATGTTGAAGAAGCCACGCAACTGCTCTGTGAAATTCTTCCTTCTTCCATTGGAGATTCAACACTCAAAAAGGAAGTAGTGCTTTGACCTGTTGCCATTTTAGGTTCTTCTTTTTGGTTGACTGATTCAGAACTTTCAAAAGTTGATTTTTCAATTTCAGAACCATCATACACAAGTGAATGCAAACGTAAAATTAATTGAGGAGCTCCTTGGAAAACCAAAATATCAGAACTTTCCAATTTTAGATCTAAAGGAACTGGTGAAATTTTTTCAAGCCCAGCAACAGTTTCGTTTGTTGCTGGAATAATTGTATTCGAAGAAGTAGAGCTATTTGAAGAGTTTGTGGATTGCTCTGGACTTTCCTTAGGTTCTTCTACCTTAATTTCAATAGATTCTCCATTGGAAATTACATTTGGTTCGCTTGAAGTTGTTGGTTGACTTGAAGATTGTACACTGCTCAATTCAACTTGATTGGTTGATTTCTTTTCTCTCAAAATTTCAATCAAATCCAAGTTGCCTATTCCCAACTCTGACATGGCTTTGACTTTGGTCTTTCCATTCAAAGTTTCAAATAATGTTTTACCTTTCGAATACTTTGGTTGAGAAGCCAAATATTCCATCTTGACAATGGTAACGAAAGTTTCCGAATGTTCTCTCACAACTTCTCTTGCACGTTCCTTTTTACTTTTATGAGCAAAAGTAACCTTTGAAGCATTAAACTTTGAAGTCACTCCTTCATTAGGAACAATCCACAATGTATAAGTGCAACAATAAATAATTGTAATGAAACATAAAATGGCGCCAACATAAACAAACTCATAAAAGGATAAAGGAGTGTAACCATATTGAGTATAGATACCATTTGCAACAATACTTGCTGAAGTTCCAATATATGTCAACAATCCACCTCCATTTGTTGCGAATAAAAGTGACATGAGAAATTTGGTATGTGAAAGTTTGTGTGTCCTTGCCCATTCCATAATGATAGGAATTCCTGTGGCCACAACTGGAGTATTCGATACAAATGCACTAAAAATGGTAAAAACAAAACAAATTCTTAAAGTTGGTGGTATGAGTGAAATAAAATTGAGAAATTTGTTTTTGGAATTTTTGAATTTCAATGGGGAACCAAATAAAAGTCTGGCAAATTTCAAAACTAGGGTATTTTCACTTAATGGTTTGACGATTGGGAAGAGGAGAGCAACGATGAGAGTACCAGTGTTGGAAAAACCACTTAAGGCATCTGTAACACTGACAATACCTGCCAGATTAAAAATGACAAGTGTCATAACCACAATAAAGTAAGGTCTCCAAAGAGAAACAACCAGACAGACTAGCATTAGGATGACCATGCATAGTACGAACCATAATTTCCATGAATTCCATGAAAATGCAACTACAGGTGACGTGGATCCACAAATATTATTGATGGATGAGCTTGTTAACACTGTATCTATGCTCACAGATTGATTCAGCTGTTGAATGGTAGTAAAGTTGTAGTTTAGATTCTTAGAAGGAACTTGTGCTTGTAAATCGTTGAAAGCATTCACCAATTCTTGACTAAACATTCCACTTTCAATCTTGTTTCTAATATCAGCAAGGTCGAGTTTGACTAGAAACCATTGAATTGCATAGGAATTTGTAAACAACTCTGGAATATCCAAGTATTTGGTAGAATTCATGAATGCATTCTTACTTGTCGTTCCATTTATATGAAAAACCATCTTTTCATATGTCAAATCCATTCCACTTTTTGTTTGAATGACAGAAATTGGATATTCTTGAAGGAGAGAAGTTCTGGAAGGAAGAAAGAGTGAATTTTGATATTTTGTGGAAAGTAAGTTATTATGGATGATTCTAAAATAGTAAAAACTTAGTGTTTCGTTCGTTTCGTGCAAACTTTCGACATGTTCATCAAATAGAAACTTCCAAGAAATTGTTCCTTGTCCGTGTTCATAACTCAATGAAACATAACTAATGGTAGTGCTTGCATTTATGGTAGAACTCTTATAATTCGTATCGTCATTCGAATAGTAAACACTCTCGGATATATTTTTGGTAAACTCGGTGGAAAATTGATAAATTTGACCATTTACAAATGCAGATGAAGTAGAAATACAATTATCCAATCGAATAGGATGATTTAGCAAGTTTGCAAGTGATAAAATGATGAAAATGCTTGAAATGCAAGCAAATACGAAACTGTGGAGTTTCATCTTTTTTTCTTTCGAATTGTTAGATGAGAAGGAAGAGATTCGTCCTGTTGAAATGCAAAAGGGCACAACTGTGGCCATGCTGGACTCGTTTTCTATACTATTTGGCATGTTGGTTCGATCTTTCGAATATAAATTATAATTATTAATTTTCGGATAGTGCGGAACTTGAAAAGGAAAGCATCAAGGATATTGTAAAGTTAATTCCTTTCGACCTTTGGCAATAAAATTATTCAACTCCGCAATCACACTTTCTATTAGGTCAAAGTCTTTCGAATAACAAAAAGAAAAACTATTAGAAACCAGCAGAAACTATTCGTCTTGTTTTTTTACAACTTAACTCTTCCCATTGACTTCCGCCCAGTGATGATGAGTAATTGTGTTCACTCTTCAAATCGTTCCCAAAACAAATTTGCAATCCAACAAACGAATTTGGCCATGGAAAGTCATTAGAATAGGCAGCCATAAAAGAATGCAATGAAAAATCTGGTTTATTCGTTCACATATGGACTCGTTCACAAATTTCGTTGTGGGAATTGAATCTACATTTTTGGAATGAAAAAAATGCTAGACGATACTTTTGAAGAATCCTTTCGAATAGTTCTTGTTGGAATTACATGAAACACAATTACATTTTGCTTTCACATTGTCTTAGTAAATGAAGTGTAGGTCCATCATGTGGATTTTGTTGATAGAAAGTTTGAAGAATCGAATAAGCTTGTTTGTAATCTTGTTGTAGGAATAATCTGGATGCTTGTAGATAATCATGCCATTGAGATTGTTTGTTCTTTTCTTGGAGTTCGTACATCCACTTTGTTTTTGAATCAGTTTAATCAACACATTCGAAATTTAACACAAAAAGTTATTGGAAAGGTCAAAAACAGAAAAGGACTTACCTCATCGTCGTTCACTTTCAAAGAAGATCCCAATTCATAGATATTTGTTAGCACGCCAGTATTTGGAGTCTTGTATTCGTCAGTTTTTCCATTGAGCGAGTTTAAATTAGTTTCGTCTAGTAATTCTTTGGAATCTACATATCTGATTTGGAACAATTGTTCACATTTTTCCTTAATCTTCTCACTTACTACAATACTAACATTCAGTTGAATTGCAATTTGAGTCAATTGATCCAAATTTTGTTTGGCGCTCGAAATTATTGTAAAGTTTTTCAATTCGTTCGTTCCAATATTTCCACAATAGGAAGATTGTGATAAAACTGCAATTTTAAATGACATTAAATCCAATAATTGTGAATTCTTCTTGAAACTGTTTAATAAGGTTGAGGCAGCGACAACTCCTTTTTCTTCATGATTCGTCTGATTATTCGAAGAGTTAAACGAAATGGTGATTGATTCATTTTCAAAGTTTCCAACGTTTCCTGTCAAACTTCTACTCACACTATTAATCTGTTCAAAAATATCTGACATTAGCTCAATAGTTTCGTTTGGATTCATATTTTGCAACCATTCAGTAAATCCATTAAAATGAATCTGGACGAAAGTTACCTTCTTCTGTTCCATATACAAGGAAAACTTGCTTCTATCATTCTTATATACTTTCCTTGAGGATCTTGCTTTATGAGAAATTCCTTTACTGGAATTAGAACTTCCCACTGATTGAGTTTCCTGACTTGACATGTTGTGCGAAGATCCTCCGTAGACTTTAGTTCTGGAATTCTTTCGGAAAGATTCGTCTACTTCACTGTCTGATTCTTGGATACCATCTACATTTTCAATTTCTGAAAGTAAGTGAGCTGGAATAAAACTCTTGTAAAGTTTGATTCGGTTGACCATGGAAATGAAATGTCCTTGTAATTGTTTCACTTCTGAGAATGAACTTGGAATAATGTGAAGTTGATCCAAATCCATATTAGCAACACTTTCGAATAACTCTATCAAATTATAAAACGGCTTGACAACTTTTAAGGAAACAACAACTCCCAAGACTAAACCAACCGAAATGATGAGAACACTACCAATCAATGAGCAGATAATTGCAAAAATTGTCGATCCTAAATAATTCCATTGAGGGACACTCAACACTAATATCCAATCAATTTTTGAGCTAGTACACAATCTATATATGGAAATGTATTGTCCACTACGTTCGAGAACTTGCATTTCATTGCAAGTTATTTTAGTCCAATCATTCGAATAATGATCAAGAATAGCTTGAGAAATTGCGTTGATTTTGGTATCTGAAACATCGGTTGGTGTTTTTCTATCTAATGATCCATCTGATTTCCAATCTGAAATTGTAACTTCCTCTCTGTCAACTATTTCCCATAAACTTTACAATAAAAATTTATGTAACTTACCTGCAATCAAATAAGCAGTTTCAGTTTCCACAATAAATCCTAAAGATCCAGTAATGGATGCAATTCTTTCTTTCAAAAAGTCTGAAATCGATGACACTGTCAAATCATTTGCTTGATAATAGTGAAAATTGTGTCCGTTAGGAAGAGGAAGTTTCTTATTTACGACACAATTCATGGAAGTGATGAATGTGTATTGAGGCATTGAAATGTCAGCATAACTCAATGTAAAAACTTGTTGACCTGGATTAGCATCACAGACCTCAACGAGATAGCTCACATCGAATGGCTTGTTGGTTTCGTCTGGATTAGAATTTCTAACACACTGTTCGTGATTGGTAATGTTGTCGCAATAATAGATTAATTGAGCTGTTGATGTGATATTAAAAGTGGCCAAATAATCTCCCCACTCAATTGATCCAAAGCATGTTTTATCTGTACCTCCCACATATGAGGAAATTGTAATTCCCTTCAAATGTTTTTGAGATGACTAATGGCAATTTGAAGGTATTTCATTAATTTTCATGAATTTTTCATATTTTGAATATGAGAATAGGAATCAATAAACTTTGCTTACCTTGTAGCCTGCAAACATAATCCTCTCCAAATAATCGAAATTTCCATACGAATAATCATCAGTTGCCAATTGTTGTTTAATGGCCTCATTCAATACATTAACTTCTTTGAGTGTTTGCTCTGCATATTTGACAATGGTTGAAAACTCTTCGTCTCTCACTGTTGATGATAAACTGACAACTGTTGGAGAAAAACTTGCCAACCAAATGGCAGATAGGATCAAAACACTGAGGAAGAGTAAACCAGATACCATGACAATCATACAAAATTTGATGGAAGTTCCCTTAGTTGAGCCTCCTGTGTAGGAACTTGTTTCTTGATTCTTATCCATTATGGCTTGTTTATCCTCTTGTGAGGTTGGTGTTACCTTGTTCTTTAATTTCATGAATGTGCGCTTATGTTTGTATTATATACCTAATGATGTTTTTAGAGTTTCCTCAGTAAATTTGTAAATTGTCTGATGCTAGTGTAGATGTTTGGAAATTTCTTTTGATTTGAATTTGCTCTCCTGTAGGAATGTTGATGCCCATCAACACGAAATAAACTCTTAAGTCACAATGTATTTCTTATTTGCGTTCGAGTTGTTGCAAAAGGTTTAAAGCATTAATAGGTATTGATTGACTGTTGGTGATACCTGTTGATTGCGAGCGAAAACTATTTTGCTGCGAAGCATAATGCATACTTTTAATGATGGTGTGTTTATTATTGGTTATAAATAAGAGGAGGGTTATTGTAGTGGGTAGGCGGGGAATAAAAAAGGGATTATACAAAAAAGGAGATGTGTAACTAATTAATCTGATTCGCTGTAATATGGAGAGGCATAGGATGGTGTTGATCTAGCACCAGTCTTGTAGGCAAATCTAGAGTTATTGCTGTGAGTGAAAGGACGATTGGATCTGATAACATCTCTTTCTTGATTTCCAATAAGAGTATTATTCATAATGTCCATTCCAGAACGAGCTTGGGCAGATGGTCTTTTAATGGTTGGTCTTTGGACACCAGAGTTCATTGATCCATAAACCACAAAGCCCAAAACTGCAATAATAAGAGAAAGGATGATATAAGTCAAATAACCAGCAGATTCATCTTCGGTATTGTCAGTGTGGACGTGTTCTCTGACTGGTTGACGGGCTTCATTGGATACAAATCTAACAGTAATAGGAGTAGTAGTGAGAGTGTATGACTTGGCATTTTCACCAAAGTTGACCTTGACAGACAAGTTAATATCTTGTGTTGACAAGTGCTTCAATTCACCGTTAAGGAAAGAGTCACGTCTTGGTTTGATTAAACATTCATACTTATCACCAACTTTTTCAGTTCCAACAACTTCCAACCAGCTTTGAGTAGATTCACATTGTACATTATAATTACGTCTTACTCTGGAATCGTGTGGGAATTTGACTTCTTGACTTGTGTTATCCAAAAGATGGAGTGGAATACGGGTTGGTACTTGTTTCACTGGATCAACACCAGAACTAAGTTCAATACTTGAAAGGGAAATCTTAGCTTGAGCAATTCTGACAATGTTAACTTGGATTTGGGTGGTAGTTCTTCCTGATTTAAGAGTAACAGTTGCTGAACCAACCTTGTGAGCAGTTCCTACACCGTTCAAATCAACACTAATAACACTAGAATCAGAGCTTTCCCATTTACCAGCCTTTTCAGAAACAAAAGTAACAGAGTCACCAACGTGAAGTTTGGCAGTTGAGGAGAGTGTGTCAACAACACTTGAAACAACGCTAATTCTGCAATAATATGGTTGCTTCAATTCTGGAGCACTCAATTCAACAGTTGTATTACCAAGAGAATTAGAGTAGACAACAATGGCTTCCTTTTGAGCATCAACCTTTACACTAACAATATCATGAATATTCATACGGACGTTAATATCAATACCACTAACAGAAGCAAACTTTTCACCGCGAATACCAAGAGCAGAGAGTGGAATTTCAAACTCACTACCAATTGGGACTTGGAAGTCATAATCAAATGATTTAGTTTGGAGTTCACTCAAAGACATTGCCAAATAGTGTGGATTTTGAACAGCAACCTTTTGAGCAACAGTTTGACCGGTGGAAATTTCTTCAACAATAACAACAGAGATACCCTCAGATTCACGAGTAACAATATCACCGTTCTTACTGACAGCAATAAGATTATCATATTCATCAGTCTTGGCAATAGTGTATTTTTGAACTGATAAATTATCCTTATTAGTTCTCAAACGGAAAGTAGCAGATCTTGGAGCAAGAATGAGATCCTTGTGTGGGAAATCTAATAATTTCAACTTGTCATCAACTTGAATATCAGACTTGGTTGTATGGTGCCAGCTTGAAAGTTGTGGATGTTGGAATGAGGCACTAGCTGAGATTTGAGTCTTACCAATCTTAGAGCCAGTAATAAAAACAGAGTGACCAGTTTGGCTTTGTGGATAATTGATAATTGAAACTTCTTGTTCAGCAGAAGAGACAGAGACTTGGAAGAATGGAGATTGCATAAAGAGAGGAGACAAGAGTTGCTTATTATCATAGAGACCATAAACAGGTACAGGGATATGATGTCCTTCAAAAACAAAGAGTGGTTGTGGAAGTTTGATACCTACAAGTTGAACAACACGAACTGGAACAGTCTTTCTAGCATAAACAACTGAATTCTTGATGAGACTAATCTTTTCGACAACAAGTAATTGTTCACCATAAGTAACACCAGTAACAATTCCTCTAGCATCAACAGAGGCAAACTTGTGATCTTCCTTAAACTTGAAAATTGTAGCAATACTTGGTGTTTCAATTGGTCCTCCAGTAACCTTAACTTGGAATTTAGCACCTGGAATCAAGACAAGCTCTGGTGGATTAACTCTCATTGGTTCATAAACATTGACCATAAATGGAACACTATAAACTCTTCTTCCATCACTATTAAGAACACTAGCAACAAGTTTAACAACACCAACTCTTCTACCAGTCAAAACATATTCATCTGGATTAGATTCAGATTGTTTGAGTGAGATTGTGTTTGGAGTGTCAACTTCAATAGAAGTTTGCATGGCATAGTGTTGAGAAGCTGGGAAATTGGCACCAGTTTCATCGGAAACGCTCAATTTAACAGTAACATAATTGTCAACTTCGACAAATCTTTCACCATCTAAACCAACATGGTGAGCATCAGCAACTTTAACAAAACTACTAGCAGCTGGGCTGAGTTTGGAGAAGGTATCAAAAACATCAACTCTAACATAACCTGGAACAAGACCAACAAGTTCAGCAGTTGAACCCTTTGGAGCCAATGTTGCTACGTCAGTATTGTTATGAGAAAAGTCATATCTACCAGAACCACCTGTAGCTTGGAGAGTGAGACTAACTTTACGATTTCTGAATAAAAGATAACTAGCAGGATTGAGGTAAATATTTGGAGCAATTCTGAGTTCAATTTCATCCTCTAATGGTTTAGAGAATGCTGCAATAGCTGAATTCATGATAGAATAAGAGACGTACTTCTTGACTTCATCCTTATTATATCCAATAATTTGTCCTCTCAAGTTTACAGAACCTTCCTTTTCATAAATATCCAACAATCTGTGTCCTGGATATACTTCCTTATTGGAAATTTTGGCAATATCATGGTGACTGAGTTCCCATTCATCTTGTAAAGTGGAGGTGGTAACGAAGAGATTTTCTTCACTGTCATAGGCGTTCATTACAGCTGGAACAGTTTGATTATTTCTAACACTGTAAACTCTAATAATGTGAGAGGAAATTAAACCCAATTCCAATTTGGTCTTTGGATCAAGTGGAACAACCTTGATACTTTCTGGTTTTTGACAAGAGTAGTGAATATCAAGTTTGGTCAATGTTGGAAGAGCATCTTCAGCAGGAATATTGTGCTTAATTTCAACTGTCAAAATTTGCTTTCCAAAATCAAGACATGTAATAGAGAAGCTTCTCTTTCTGTACATGTCAGAAGCTCTGCTCTTTGAAACCTTGAGACGGTCTGGATCTTCAGTAACAATATTATCGACAATGACAGATTCTCCCTTAACGTAGCTATCCCATGGTTGTGGACCACCTTCAACACTCAATGAAGCAGTAGCACCCAAAGGAATGAGGAATACCTTGTATTTCTTTGGTGATGGTTCAGTGACAGCAAGTGGTGGGAATACAGCAACATTGGTCTTTTCTTGAATCTTTCCATTTTGATAACGGATCTTGACAGATGTGAAACCTTCTGAAATGGCATTAAGATAAATTTCAGCATCTAAATTCTTAGAAGATTTGCAAGATTGAGAGATAATATTGTAAACATTGGTATCAACAATGTTCCATTCAAAATTGAGACTAGAAATATTGTGGAAAACATTTCCATCAACATCTAAACCTTTAGCACGCAAACAGAGTGATTGAGATGGTACAACTTCTCTAGTACCCTTTTCAAAAACTAAACTATGCAATGGTGAAACAGAAACGGCACGAGCATCACCATTGTACAAGTTTTGTTGATCGAAAACAATGACATCAGCTTTACCATCCTTCTTGGCAACAAGAAGACCCAAAACAGAGTTGGCTTCCTTTTGAGATCTAATATCGAATGGTGAGACAGAAGGAGAAGATGAAGTCCATGAAAGCAAGCCACTTCCACCTTGAGCACTAAGAATAAACATTTGTTCAACATTTCTATCACTTGGTAAATAAATAACTTCATCAGGAATATCAATCTTAACTCTAGGAAGGATAGAGATGGACTTGGTATGAGTGAGTTCAATTTCGTCATTGTGTCCTGGGAAAATGTCAGAAGACAAGTCAGCAGTCTTCAATGTTACTCTCAAAACAACATCAGACAACTTTTTAGCTCTGACAACAAACAAGTCTTCATTGGCAGATCTTTCAAGAATAGTGATTGGTTCACTGTCACTTGATTCAATTTCAAATTTAAATTTGAGATTCTCGGTAATATAAATCTTTTGATATTGTTGATCGAATAAATCAATCTTGACTTCATAGTCATTATCCAAAACGAGACTGGTATGTTCAGTATTGAGAGAATTCTTGAAATTTCTAACAATATAATCATATCCTCTATAGAGTTGGAGTTTCTTAGGAGAAATATTAATCTTGATGAATGCTGGTTTGACAACATGAACGAGAGCAGTGGCTCTATTCAAAGCAAATGTAACATCCTCAACATTTACATTGGTATCACCGAGATCGAATGCCTTGAAAATACCCTTAGTTTTTTCAACTTCACCAACAGTACCATTACTTGATGACCAAGTATATTTGGCATCTGGCATGGCAATTTCCATTTGTGACTTTCCATTTTGTTTAATGAAGAGTTTGAATGGAATGACTGCACCTGGGATAACTCTCAATTCAGTGTCTGGCTGTAATAAAAAGCTATCGACAACAGAAATAACAACACTATCTTGTAATACTTGAATTTCTCCTGTTGTTGTTCTGAGAGAGACGGATACCAAAACTTCACCAGATAACAATCCTCTAGCAACAATAACATCATGACTTCCGACACTTCTCTTGATTCTCTTCTTTTCATCAAAGAAATGAACAGATTCATCATTAATATCAATTAATTCAATGTTGCCTCTGTTGTTGTTAATATTATTATTATCATTAATAAAATTATTAAATGATGACAATGAAGTACCATCAAAATTGAATAGATAGTAAAATATTTAGAAATACTATAAAAACTACTAATACATACTGCTTCTTTGAGGTCTTTAAACCTTCTTGTTTCCAAATAAAACTCAAACCTGTCAATGAGCTGAAAAGATTTCCTTCATTATCAAAGGCGTCAACTTGCAATGTTTCAAGTTCTCCAATAGTAAGCTTTCTCACAGTAGTTTGCAATTTAATCTTGTCAATAGAGGAGATGAAAACTTCACAACTAGCTGATGGAGATGATGATGTTTGAAGGGATGGTGGATATTTAGATGCTTTGACAATAGCAACTCTGGTATTTGTGTTATGACCTTTTGGAATGACCTGTTGTTGTTGTTGTTGTTGTATAATATTATTATATTTCACACAACATTGTTATTAATATTATTGTATTCCACACATTTTTGTCATCATCATAATATAATAATTTAATAATTGAAATTAAAATTCCATCAATTCGATCCATTAACAAATACTTACTTGAATTTCTTGAGAGCAACTAATAATTCTAGAATCATCAGAGGAAGAAGTCTCGATATTATCAACAGGAACCAATGATACTAAATCAGGATGGAGAGTACTCCAATAAAAACAATTTTGTTTGTCATCCTCGTTCAATCCTACAGTGTTGGCTTTCAATGTAATACCATCACTGTTCCATGTTATCAAAGCACTAACTCTGTTTAATAAAATTGGGGAATTTTTAGATGTTTCATGTTGGTAGGAAGGACGAGCGAGTGCTAAAAAGATGAGTGAAACAATAAAAATTACTACGAATGATGGCTTAACAAGAGATGATTTGGTTTGTCTTCTTGTAGCAGCAGCTATTAAATTCTCGCATTCATGATGTTTTGTATTCAATGTGGATTTTGACGAGTGCGAGAACCACATTTTTTTTCGAGGTTTTTTTGTTGAAGGTGGCATTTTTTAGATGCAACGAGTATAAAGCAAAAAGAGCGCGGCAATCACACTGTCAAATAAAAACAACTTTTCAACATAATGTAAATTACCACTCTGCAAACCAATAATAACAATCGTCACACAGGTTCAAGTCAACAAATTATGCTTTATAATATAATTGTTGATTCATCTCGGTAGAATTGTCAAGTCCTTTCTTCATTGATCTCTTCATACAAAAATCGGTGAACAAGACAAGATAAACCAACACTGACAATACAATAACAATTAATAACAGGAAGGCAATGATGGATACTGTTGGAGCGAGGATCAGAAGATAATTGACAGTCTCTGGATTTTTAACGAATTTCATCTTGATTTCTACACAACCCTTGCCTGAAATTCCCATGTAGAAAGTTTCTTCATCATCATGTCCATTGTAGAGGTAGGCAATTTCTGGACTCTTATCCTCAAATTCAATTTCATTTTCATAATCAACAAATTCAGAGTCTCTGTAGAGAAGTGGTTTACCAATATTCATGTAAACATCAAATTCTTCACCTTCGTCCTTCTTGATGGAAAGATAGGTTTGGCCTGGTACTTTGATGGAGAAGAGTTTTGGAACACCTTCAGACAAGCAAGCTTCAACTTCAACTTTCTTCTCTGCCTTGATATTGGAAACTTCTTCATATTGAACAAAGAAATATTCAGCAACTAAATACATATCATAATTGAAGAGTTTGTCATTCTTGAGAGCACATCTTGTTATTTCATCAACAGTACAATCAACGACGAGGTAATTTTCAACACTTCCTCTCACTCTTGAGGGAATAATCATTGAGTTGCCAGTGATATAATCCTTGATGAGACAAGAGAAGGAACTAGAATTGACAAAAACCTTCTCACCTAAACTATCAACAAGTTCAACTTTTCTACTTCCCAGTGGTGTGAAAACATCTTCAGGAAGACGGAAAGTAAATTTGGTATTGACTGGTTCGGTCACTACTGTCTTGGTTGCAACAGCAATGACAGGGTCCAATACAACAGTACTATTGATTGCTTTTGTGCTATTGGTTGAATTGTTCATAAAACCATCAGAAATTACTGTTGCATTATTAGTACAATTCACACTTTCTGTGCAATTCAAAACTGGAGGAATCACTTGTTGTTGCCCGATAAAGTTCAAGCTCTTAATGATGGCATATTTGGAGGCAAGAGAACGTTCCAATGAATTGGAGCCTACTGTCATCATGAATTGAATTACTCTAGAATCGAGGCAAGTTGCGTTGAAACCAATATCAAAAGCACTCCTCGAATCTGTGTATGGTGGAAGACAGAATGTAAATGTTGGAAGAGCTCCGTTAGTTTGATTGGCTCCAATAGGATTGAATTGAATTAATTGATTCATTGGAGAAAATACAGCCGCTGCTGGACTGGTCAAACAACAAACAAGTAAGGCGGTAATGGCTAACAGCAAGATATCGACAACCTTCATGATAATTTAATAGAGGAAGAAGAGGAGGTGCAGTTCACACTTTTTGTCGTTTTTTAATGCTTGATATTGTGTAAACTTGTCTATCAAGAAAACCACAGCTTAGGAGCACTTCGTAATTCCCCACCATGTTAGGGAAAATTTCACGAAAACGACAATTTTCTTGAGGAGTCTCAACAGAATGGATAAGCTCTATTAAGGTCATGTAAAAGGACCAGAGTCAGTTAAATAATATGATTAAATATTTGAATAATTTATTGAAATGATAGGTTCTATTAGTAGTGGAATAATTGAAATAGTAATATTTAAACTACTCAAAGTGTATAATTGTTATTTATTTCTAACACTTGAGAATCAATTCTTCCTTAATTGAATCAAACCCTCTTTTGTCAAAACACCAAAGGTGATTATCAATAACTCTTAGTGGTCTAATTGTGTGATGGCCATGAGAGAACACCTTGAAACTACCAATGTTGCGCTACGTACCGTCACACTACTTATTAAAATCGTAATAGAAAAATTATTAGAAGATTAAATATTGCGTTTTACCCAAACATCTCGATACCATCATTTATAGGAACAGGCCAAAAGGAAAAAATTCCTCCTCTTCTCCTGCACTATTTTCTTTAATACCAAATCAACAACATCTAGAAATTTTAGATATTTTGCTTAATTATCTTCGATTGAATGGTCGGAACAAGAACAAAGAAGGAGCTGCTTGAATCATCAATGCAGAATTTATCTAGTTTTATTGCAGAGGCAGTACAGAGAGAGGAATCAACAAATACCTCTCTTATTCAAAACATGGTTCAACCAACAACAAGAACGTCATCTTTGCCAACATCACCACTCTCTACAACATCAAACAATAATCAACTTGCATCAAATTCTACAATACCATCGTCATCATCATCAGCACATGTTTCCTTCAATACTCCGGATACCATAGAAAATATTTGCAAAAACCAATCATCTTCCAATAGGTTCAATAATAATAATTTGATTATTAATACATCCATGATGGCGATGATGAATAACGAATATAATAACCAACCATCAACATCCACTCCAACAAGTCTTAAAGTAAGAACTATTTCACCTCTCCACGATTCTCCACCTCCTTCATCCTCTAATTTTAGCAATAATAATAATATGGAAATGATAACAGCAAGTAGTAGAGGGTCGTACTCTAGAAGACAATCACCTTATGATCCATTTGCTCAACAATTATCTCTCTCACAATATACCTTACAATCATCAAAGAGTGTAAATACAAGCGTTAATAATAATAATAATAATATGAATAACAACAACAACAATTCAATAAGGGATGAGAATGAACATCATCACCATCATCACCACCATCATGATCCATCGAAATGGGAACGAAAACTGTTAGAAATTACCAGAGTAGCGTTCGTATCCATGCTAGGCTCCAAGAATAAGAGATTAAGCGAATGGACCTTGATGAATCAAATTTCGGAATCCTTAACAGACATTACATCGAGTCAATTTTGCATCATTTTGAAAGCAGTTAATCCTCCTTCCCAACAACAAGAATCAAATTACAATACTAATTCACCAACTCATTCTCCTTCACCAACCACTAACAATCCACCAGATGTCAGTAATGATGTGCATTTACAAGTTATTGGAATTTATGGTATTGAAACAGAGGCTGCCAAATTGTTTGTAGCTCCATATAGACACAAGGTTCCAACAAGTGGACCTCATTCAATATTTGCCCATTGTTACAATAGACAACAAATTATTATTAATAATTTGAGTTCTACAACTAATTTACCACCAGGACATCTTCCAATTTCCAACTCGATATGTGTTCCAATATGTTATGGAAAGGAATGTATCGGTGTAGTTTTACTATCTAATAGATTTTCAGGATACAGAGAGGATATGGAAAAATCACTGGTCGCTTGGGCCCAATCCCTTGGTCAAATGTTGAAAATGTATGCTGTACTCTTTGAGAATGAAACTGGCCAATCATTCTTTGACACATCTAATATCAACATGCCCCCTGTGACTGTAAATCCATATGGAAGCAAATTCAGGAGAGAGTATGGAGATTCACCAATTTCTTGCATGCCTGGAAGACTTCCTCATCCTTTCGATTTCAATGCAAACCACATAAGAAGAGCATCCATTTCAAATATTCAAATCTCAAAACCTGCAGCTTATTTAGGAAAATTAGGAAAGTCTAAAAGCAGTGGGAATGTCTTTACTGTAAATGATAGAGTTAGTAGAAATAGTTCATTTAGCAGTGTTTGTAATGACAATGATTCCGAAAGTGGTGAATGTAAAAAATCATTACGTATTGATGTTAGTAATGATGTTGATGGAATGGATCAAGACGAAAGAAGAGTCCCAAATAGAAATTTTTCCGCTAGTCCTTGTAGTAGTGTTAGTAGCGTTTCAGATAGTCATGGTGAAGAGTATCAAGATCCAATTTCGCTATTTGAAGAAATTGAAAATGAAATGCTAAAGTCGGCAGAGTTATCTCTGGCTCTATTTAAGGCAGTTCAAGACAGTATTTTAATTCTCGATCAAAATCTCAATATTACTACTATGAATCCAAGTGCAAAAAAATTCTTTGGTGTTTCTACTAATCAATCTCCGAATACTAGTATTCCCTATATGGGTAATGGATCTCAGATCATTTCAGTCAGAGATTTGATTCCAGACAATTCTACTCAACATTTGAATTGGTCTGAAGTTTGTAAACCTAATGGAGTTAGTTGGTATAGAGGTAAGGCTCTGGCCAAATGTAGAAATAATAACAACTTTGACAATAACAGGACAGCATCCGGTTTACTCATGGCCTCACACTCACCATCGACAACAGTAACAAACTATGTGGAACTTCTTTCAAATACACCCCTCTCACCAAATACATCTGCAGGAACAATTTCTCCTACAGGAGTAGAGGATCATTCTATGAATAGGAAACAAGATTCCAGTCAAGATTTTAGTAGACTTGTACCAATTGCAATTTCTGTAACAAGTTTCTTTTTCAAGGAGGAGATTTACTTTTCTGTGACTGTAACTGATGAATCATCAAAGGAAGACATGAAAGACAAGATGAAGTTTATCGCCTTCTTGAGCCACGAGTTGAGAAATCCAATTCAAGTGATTGTTTCAGGAGTTCAATGCCTAGTTGACATTTTCAAAGATAACGAAGATTCGGATGATATGGATAATGGAAAATCAATTATTAAGAGTATTTCATCATCTTCAGATTTCATTTCACACATTATCAATGACATGATTGATTTAACAAAGTTGGAATCTGGTCACATGAAAGTAATTGAGTCATCATTTAATATTAGAGAGAAGGTAGAGCAAATAGTGGAAATGTTGAAAATTTATCAAGTAGACAAGAATATTGACATCTCTTACCAAATAGATGACGCTGTTCCTCAAAATTTGTACTCTGATGCTACAAAACTTCAACAAATCATTCTAAACATAATGTCAAACTCATGTAAATATACCAAGAGTGGAAGTGTTCGACTTGTATGCTCTTATGAAAACTTAACAGAAGATAACAAACCAAAAAAGAATATCATTTTCAAGATTCAAGATACAGGTGTAGGAATTGAGAAGGAAGAAATCCCAAAGATTTTCAGAATTTACAGAAGACTGCACAGAAAGCAGCATGAAGTTTCTGGAAGTGGCATAGGTCTTGCATTGTCTAAGCTTTTGTCAGACATATTGGGATGTACAATTAGAGTTGATTCTGAAAAGAATATAGGTACCACTTTCACAGTCATTGTCCCTCACCGATTGAATCCTAATGTACCGGAAACAGATCAAGAGCAACAGTTGCAAGAAGTGAAGAAACCTTCCCAAGAAATACCAATAGAGGAATTATTAAAAGATAAGAGAGCACTAGTCGTAGATGATAATGAGCTTATTAGAAAGCTTGTGAAGAATATGCTCAAAATGTGTAAATGTGAAGAAGCAGAAAATGGTCTAGAAGCTTTAAAGAAGTGTGAAGAACATGAATTTGATTTTATCATTTTAGATATTATCATGCCTCTAATTGATGGTTTTGAGGCAGCCAAAATTTTGAGAAACGAACGTAAAGTCAAGACTCCAATTCTTGCATTGACAGGAAATTCACTGCAGGAAGAAATTGATGCCCTTCTTAAAATTGGTGTCAATAAGGTAATGATCAAACCGATCAAAAGATTAGAACTATTCTCTGAATTGAGAGATGTACTAACTGAATAAACATAATCCTAACTTTATCTCAATTGAAGATGATTGAATTTTTAGATATTATAGTGCTATGTATTTCCAGCAAAGAGTTGTATGAATGTCACATTTTATATTGTGAATAGAAGAGCTTCTTTTTGTAGTAGATTTATCTTTCAGAAAATATAGTTGTTGGTGGCTACGGCCATATCACGATGAATGCACCTCATCCCGTCCGATTTGAGAAGTTAAGCATCGTCGAGCCACATCAGTACTGAGGTTGGAGACAACTTGGGAACCTGTGGTGCTGTAGTCTTTTTGTCTTATTGAACATCATTACTAAACCCTTTCCCATTGAGTATTGAGTGAATGGAAACGAATCAGATGAATAATCTTTATCATTGACATAGAATTTTAGCTCCTTACTGGGTATTCCAATTTGAAATTTCGATTTCACATCCAAATCCCAAAACGAAACTGCACTAATCAACACAAATTTGTGCAGTGTTCTCTTAATATCCTCATCCAGATCAAGTTTAAAATGTTGTAACACTCCCTGAAATAATTTACAAGGACTGTAAAAACTAAAATCAATTTCACCTCCCTTATGTCTTTTCCTTTCTACCACTTCCGACCTATGCCATGGTGGAAATATTGAGAATTGATTATTTTGACAAGACAATTTATTTTAACTCAATTTGTAAACTATTTAAAATTGATGAATCAATATTGAACTAAAAGTACAATATAAAACAGATAACGATTAAAATGGTTAGATTTTCATTTAGATTGCGTTTTCTATTTGAAATAAGTGAGAGAAAGCAATTGTGATGCAGATGGTCTTTGTTTTGCATCTTTTTCTAACATTTTCAAAACTATTCGAATCAATTCTTCAGAATATTCATTGTGTGTTGTTTCCTTCATTTGATTCGTCAAAATTTTAAGTGCATTCTCGGCTTGATTTCCCATTAGCAAGTTACCAATCGATGTTGCTAGATCGTTGGTCATGATTTGATAGATTGAAATTCCCAAAGAGAAGATATCCGTGTTAAATGAATATGAACTTCCAAGTGCAACTTCAGGACTCATATCTGAAAGGTTTCGTTTAAAATTTTAGAATAAACAACTCTCAACTTACAGAAAGGAGTTCCTGCATAGGACTGACCCGACATTTCTTGATACTTTTTAGCCAATCCAAAATCTGCCAATACAATTTCAATACTGTCACTTGACAGTTTCTTGATAAAAATATTAGTTGGCTTAATATCTCTGTGAATAATTTCCATTTCTTCGTGAACGTATTTCAATGCGCTCAACATTTGTTTCAAAATTTGCTTTACAATCTCTTCCCCACAATTTTCTTGTTTCAATTTTGATAAATCTCCCAATTCATAAAAATCCATGTCAATAATCAACAAATTATCATTCGTAATGAAATAGTCATTAATTTTGATAATATTTGGATGTTTGGTATTACTTAATTGAGATGCTTCTTTCATAATTGTGTTCAAATCTGTCAATGATTCGAATTTAACAGTCTTGATTGCTTTCAATTTGTTTGTTTTTAAATCTCGCACTTTGTAAACACTTCCAAAAGCTCCTTGTCCAATTCTTGAAATATCACCATATCTGGAAAATGGATTCGATTGATCAGAGCCAGAAGATGATGAGATAATCATTGAACTAATAGAAAGGAAGGTACTTTCCCAAAGTTCACCCTTTCTAGTTTCCAATTCAGCTATTTCACAATCCTCATGCTTTTTCTTCTTCTTTACCAAACACATGAATATTACAACAATGAAAATTATCAATGCAAGAAGCAAAATCAAGACGAATACAACAACTATTGGTACGACAATGGCAATGATCAACCCAGTTGCTGTAAAATCCTGACTTTTCTGAATTTCACAAAACTCTCCTTCAAATCCACTCTTACATTGACAAATGTTAAAATCAGAACATTGTCCATTTCCATTACAAACAGTTTCAGATATTGCTAATGTTCCATTACAAGTCAATTTGGAATCGCATGTATTATTCCAAGAATTATAGATGGAGTTTTCATCACGACAATAGGGACTAACCTTTCGAATATAAGAATTGCCATCAATGAGAAAGATTTCTCCACTACTTTCGTCATAGTCAACTTGTCTTGAGAACAAAGTAAACATTGAATAGGTTCCAAATCCATCTCCATTGAATTTTGAGGCTTTAGATCTTGAACCAGCAATATCCAACAGTAATCCGCTTTGTTTCGAATACATTCGAATAATACAAGTACCAACACCATCCAAAATAATGATATCTCCATTCTTTTTCACATGGAAAGCAGAAGGATTGTCTAAGGATGATTGAAGTGCTGGAATTCCATCTCCTGAATATCCTACTTGGAAATTACCAACTAGAGTTCTCAAATAAAAAGTAGTTTCGGATAACTTTTCGATTCGTCTAATGGATTCTGGCGTACAAAAATAGAAATAACCATCTTGGTAGAGAAGATTTGTTATTTGTCCTGTACTTGTTTCGTTACTAATTATTCCATCAGAAGAAATTGGAATTCTATTTGAGAATGCAAATTCTAATGAAATTAATTGACTTTTCAGATTATATCTAATTATGGAAAAAGGTGTGGATAACAGTAAATCACCATTTGTATCATCAATGGTCATTCCAGTTACAGTGTTAAATGCTGGACAAGGCGAATCAGTTCCCTTTACACCAATCAAAAACGAACCACACGACTTTCCAATAATTTTTTCGAAACTCATAGTTTCCGGGTCGATTCGAATAATTCTACAAATGTCCTTAATATAGATTTTTCCATCAAACTTGGAAAAGATTCCATAATTCCTAACCACATTTGGCAATATATTCAATGTTAAATAGGGTGTATCTATTGGAGCATTTTGGTTTGTAAACATTGAAGTACTGAGAGAGATTGACTTTCCACTAGTTTCGTCAAATTTCTTCAAAGTTCTATTATCAATAAAGTAGATGATCTTCCTTGTTGAATCTCTCATTAAAATAAATGGGTTTAAAGTTCTGCTACTTGGGGTTATTCCAGCAATGGTTGCAATTTTTCTATTCGAAATTTCACTAATGTGAAAAAGATTCGTCACAATAATGCTCGAGTTTTGTCTGATAGCTGAAGGGAAATATCTTTTAAACGAGTTTCGTATTGAATTTGAAATAAATTGAACACTTACAGAGCAGAATTTTCTATTGGAATATTCTCACCATTGAATCCAGTAATATGGAAGGGTTGAATATTATTCGAAACATTGACTTGTAGGCCAGAAATTTTCTTCAGTGAACAGTTTTCCAATTGAAAATCATAGAGTTGACCTGCATTCCAAAAAAATAGAGCATTTTTACCATTCTTGGAAATTCCATTAAAAGGAAAAGTTGTTGGAATTGGAATAGTAATAACTGACGTTGATCCATTCTTAAAATCGAGATATTCGTACAGAGTATTCACAGCATTCGAATAGGAAAATATTGAATTACAATTAGGATATCTTAAATTTGGAAAAATACTAATTCCATCATTCCCTTTTTCTATAATTGGTAAAGTATACAAAACAGTTGAATTTTGAACAGCTAGTACAAAATTAGGAGCATTTCTAACAAAAATTGTCGAATTGTCAAACGAATCTCCAACTGCAGCCAACAAGGAAGAAGAAATATATGGCGCGGTAGAAAATACAAATTTCAAAATTTGATTTTCCAAATTGAAATTGTAAATTCGACCACTATCACTATAAATTAATAAATCACCATTTCCAATATAAAATGCATTTAACATATGGAGAGAAATACGTTGTGGAATATTGGCACTGTACTTGGGAACAGTTTCTGGTTGACAGCCCAAAACTGTTTGTAACTTTCCATTCGAAACCTTTCGTAAGTAATAGTAACTGTCAACAAAGTACAACTCATTATTGTGGTAGAATGGGAAAGAAGGAGTTCCTGTTGAATACATTTGGAATGGAGAAATATTTTCACCTTTTGGGTGAATAACTATTCCACCAGATAATGTGGAAACCATTTTGCTTTGTAAATCAATCTTTCTAATACATCTATTCGATTTATCTGCCACTATTACTGTATTTTGAGTGACAATCAAAGACGATGGTTCATAAAACTTGGTATTTGAAGAATCGTATAATTGATTATCGCCACTGTATCCCTCTGAACCTCCAACTAAAATTTGACTTTGGGCAGAATTCACTAATTTCATTTGTACGAAATTATTAGTTTGAGATGAAGTGTAAATTTCACCTCCATTAGTAACATAGACACCATATCTTTGAATTGGTTATTAATTACACCATTCAATTATTCACTTACAAATTAGATTGAGCCACTCCTCCATCCACAATTCTATAATTTCCATTTTCGTCAATTGACTTGAGTCTTTCTGCATCTGTGAAATAGACAATATCCTTATTTCCATTAGAAATAACGAATATATTCTTTGGAGATTGTAATTTCAAAAGCTTGGCATCTACACCATCATAATCACCATTTAAATAACCACCTCCTCCAATGACAGTAATTTGTAATGTTGAAATTTCGTATTTTTTGATTAAATTATTATCTGTATCTGAAATATAAACAAATCCATTCACAGAAACATAAACACCTCTTGGATTATTAAACGTATGTGCGATAGATGATGTTGTTCTTGTTCTATTCGAAACTATTCTAATCCTGTTGTTGAGTGAATCAGCAATAAACAAATCACCATTTAATGGATTCACAGATACAGCTGTTGGTGTATCCAACAAAGTACCCACAGCCTTCAATCCATCTCCATTATATCCACTCGTTACATATCCAGCATAAACCTCTACCAATGACATTGTGTTAAAAATCCTAAAAACTAAATGTCTCTCAGCATCCGAAACAAATAAATCACCATTCAAACCGAGACACATTCCAGTGGGGGATAACATGTAGGCATATTTTGCCTCCTCCACTCTTTCTAAAGTATTGTAAAAACCATCCAGTGTTTGTATGTAATAATTGGGAGGTGTCGATAAGGAAGATACTGTTGAAAGATTAGTCAAGAATCCAACAATGACAACAAGAAGAAGATAAAAGTAAGTGAGCGGTAAAGGTCTGGTCAACATGTTGGTGCTTATTTTTTTTGAGCATAATTTCAAGGTATTATGTGTTAGTACTATCTTTCCTGAATAGGCAGGTGAATTGTGTTGCGCTATACGTAAACAATGAGCAATGTTGGCAGTCTGGTCATTTTGAGTGTAACACAAACAACAAAATTTCCATGTTTTTTCTGAATAAGCACACATCTCATAGTTTACAATAAGGTGAAAATAAAAAAAATTAAATCAAAAAGAAAAGTTGAAGAGGGTTTTCAATTGAAAACCTTATCCTTGTTGATCATCATAACTATTGTTCAATTGTGTACCATTACAGTAATATATTACTAATACAAAATGTTATATATTGTTTTAAGAAGAAAAATTCAAGGAAATATATATGTTGATGTGTAAAATAGAATAGATGGAAATTTTCAAGAAAGAACCAATATAAATTTTATATTAAAATTATAATAAAACAATATTGAATATTTAAGCCGAGCTGTTTCACTTTTACTTTCTTTTTTACCAATATTTACAATCCCTCATTTACACAAATAGAGAATCTTCAAAATACTTTAATATAAAATAAATTTACCAAAAAACCACTTTCTAAACTACCACCTTCTGTACTGGCACCTCAGTAATCTATCTCAGGAGTCCCTCAACTCCCAGCACCAATCAACAGCTCACAGGAGTTGAACATCATAATTTATGCATTTGCACGATATTTTCGCGTTTTACCTCCCTAAATTTCTCCTCATAGAAGGTAAAAGAGAGCAAATCAATTTTGAAGCAAATTTCACAAGAAAAAAAAACTCGCGAATCATCAAACTCACAAACACTTTGAAATGTCTATTAATTCCTCGTATTCGGCAGCAGCAAATCCAGTGGTGGTGGACACAGTGCAAGAGCATGTGGTGGACACACATGGAAAGACAATTATTCAACAATATCATTATCATTATTACAATACAGATCCAGCCACCGATGTTAATACTCAACCAAAATCTCAACCTGATGCTATTCCTTCTGTAGTACAACCAACACCAACCAAGACACAGCCAATTCCAAAAATGGCACAATCAAGATTTCTCACTCCTGCCCAAGTGATTGATAAGTTAAAACTGGATGGTGTGAGAAAATCCAAACTCACCCTCGATCAGACCATTATTCTTTCTCTCTTTGCTGGTGTTTTCAAAGGAATTGCTGGTTCAATTTCAATGATAATTGGCGGGAATAATCCTGAAATGCAGAAAAATAATCCTGGAGCTCAACAGTTAATGTTTGGAATGTAAGTTTTGAAAATTTATGTAATTTTGATGGAATTTGAATGGTGAATGATATGAAAATTGATTGTTTTGTTAATTTGATATTGAAATATTTCGAATAATTGTTGAACTAAAGTGTCTTTCCAATAGGATTGACTTTAACCATCATGATGGGTGCTGAACTCTTTACAGGAAACTGCATGGTTCTAGTTTTGGGTTTACTCTCTAGAAAATGGGCTACCAAAAAGTTTATCAAACACTATTATCACTTCTCCAAGAATATTCTCCTTTCGTTTACTTTCAACATGATTGGTGCCTTTCTAGTTTCGTATTTCTTTGTCTACCAAACTCATTTAATGTCTCCAAATGATCCAGATGCCCCCTATTGGATCAAATATGCAATGAAACTTGCAGAAACGAAATGTTCCAAAACTTTCGGCTCTTTAGTCTTGAGTGGAATTATTTGTAACATGTTAGTGACCATGTCCATCTTTATAGCCAATGCAGCAACCAGTATTGAAGCAAAGATTATTGGATTGTGGCCTGGAATTACTGTTTTCGTTGCATGTGGTTGGGATCACTCAGTTTCGAATAGTTTCTTCATTCCACTTGGAATGCTGTATGGAGCTAATGTTTCAGTTTCTGATTTCTTGATTGGAAACTTACTTCCAGTCACAATTGGTAATATCATTGGTGGAAGTTTTGTAATTGCTGGTCTAATGTACTTTGTAAATGATTTTCGTGCAAAGAATAAGAAACTTGTATTCGAAAGTATTTCCAAGATTTGGAAACGAACTAAACAAGCTTCACAATCTGTTAATTCCTTTGCCATGAGTCGTTCCATTAGTGAAACTGAACTTGAAAATTCTAATGAAAAAGAAACTTTAATATGAAATTTATTTTTTAATATTTTTTTTTTTAATTGTTTGAAAGAATTGAGAATGGAAAAAACGTTATCTTGTCAACTGGATTGGGAAAATGGATTTTATTTTTGAACATTTGATGTCTGACGTTTATACACCCGACATGTTGTATTTTCAAAGCAAAAAAAATGTTAATATTTCTATTCTCCCTGCTCGTTGTCATTCTCGGAGGTCTTTTTGTCAAACTTTCAACTTCTTTGAAAAAATCATCATCAACAGCTGACAGCAAAAAAACTCAAAATTCTGACAAGAATGATACACCTCAAATTACAACAAACAAGAGAGAATCAAGTGATGAATCATTCCTAGTCAACAAGGAAGAATTCCAAAAAGTATTTAAAAATGTTTCTTCCAATTTCTTTAAGAATATTTCTGAACAAATTTCTAAAAACAAAGAAGTGTTGAATTTAATGCATAATTCTGCCAAAATGCCAAGTATGAAGGAATTGATATCAACAATCAAGGGAAAGAGTGAATCCAATGTTGTTATTTTAGCAGAAGAAGAACAAGCATTGACAGAAATTGGTGATGATGAAGAGACAGTTGACATTGCTACAACTCCAATCATGTCAGATGATGAGGAAGATGAGGAAGATTTTAGAAAATCAATTTCTACTCCAATTGCTCAAGATGATTCTCCTCCTTCACAAGAAACTGTCCTAAATAAGATGAATGAAAAGAGAAAGAATATTCTTGCTGAAATTTTGAGTACTGAAGAATATTACGTTAAGGGATTGTTAATTCTTGATTTTGTTTACAAGAAACAAATTGAACAAAAGAAAATTGTCGATCCAAAAGTTTTAAAAACAATTTTCCAAGATGTTGACCTCGTGTTAAATGTCAATCAACAATTTTTGACTGAATTGAGAAAGATTTATGAAAAGGAAAGAAATTTGGAAAGATCTTTACAAGATAGAAAGAATAACTTTTCAAGTTTGGGTGAATTATTGAACAGTTATGCACACAGCTTTAAATTATACTCTACTTACATTGCTGGTTATAAGAAGGCATCAGCTGCTTTATCTGAAGAAAAGAAAAAGAATAAGAAATTGACTCAATTCTTGGATGGATTGAAACAATTGTTGAAGGATCAAGGTGAGAGAATTACTCAATTGGAAAGTTATCTTGTTACTCCAGTTCAAAGAATTCGTAAGTTTTTCATTTCTCTTTTAGTCATTAATTATTGATTGACTAATTCACATATGTTTACTAATTGACTCGTGTGAAAATGTGAAAACTCATTGAAAAAACAGCTCGTTACAGATTATTATTAGAAGATTTGTACAAAAACACTCCAAATGATGACACTGCAAAGGGACGTCTTGAAGAAGCTCTTGAATTGATTAAAAAGATTGCTCTCTATGTTAATGATGCCGAAGTCAAAGTTGAAAACATTCAAGTTACTTCACACATGGTTCACAAATTGAAATTGAAAGGTTTCATCAAACCATCAAGATATCTCATTAATTATTGGGCTGAAGAAAACGATTCTCCAATCCAATGCAGAGCCAATACCTCCAGTAAGATTAACAATTGCGAATTGTACATTTTCAGTGATATTATTGTCTTGCATAAGAGGTTTGACAGTTTCTTGACCTCAAAGATTGAATTGTTGTTAACTAGAAAGGGAACTAAGCAATCAAGCAAATTGATTGTTAAGGAAGTTCAAATTAATAATGGATCAAAGAATGGAACCAATGATTTGGATATTAACATCAAGTGGATTTATGAAAATAACTCAACCAAACAATTGACATTTATTGCCAAATCTGCTGACGATTTGAAGAAGCTTGAAAGCTCCATTCGTACTGCCATTAATGGATCTTCAACCAATAGTATTTCCCTCTTTAAAAAGTAATTTGTTCAGAGTTGATTTCCATAAACATTTTTTAATTTCAAATTTCACTAAAAACTGTTAGATCATTCAGCACCACCTTGTATTAATTTTCATCCGAAGCAAATTCTAATCAACTTGTCCTGAAAAATAATTGTTTCAATTCGACTTTTGATTTAAAAATCTTTAAAACCTTATGATCACCTTCTTTCATTTGTTGAAGGTTTTTGACATGATTCCTTAATACGATCAGTAACACTTCTTCCAATCAACTTGTTTGATCTCTAATATTAAGTTGACCTTTTAATTATGATATAAAAATAGTTTTCAATCAATTTAATGATCATCTCACAATCAAAAGTTAGTATTAGAAGCGAATCAATTTCAACACAAAAAAAATAGCAAAAACATATTCCATAGGACTATTTTAACATCAAAACATTATCATCAATATATTTAAATATAATATTAAAAATATAATATTACAATAATGGTATTAGATACATCAAATCCACCAGTTATTATAAACGGAGCTCATACTTTGGTTGGATGTTTGACAGCATTGGCAATTGCTAGACAATTTAATCAGAGAGTAGTTTTGGTTTCGACTCATTCCGAAGCCTTGCTTGTCAATGAAGCAATTTTAATTAATTCAAAGAGTGCTGAGAAATTATGTACTCTATTGGAAACCCCACTTTTGCAAAAGGTGGTTCAATGTAGGAATATAGAGGGATATGCAGTGCATGATCTGGAGAGAGGTGATTGTCTGATTGAGTTTGATAGTCACAGCTTGTACAAGGCAGTGATGGATAAATTGACTACTAAATATTTGGACATGGTAAAGATTGTGTTTGGTATTGGAGAACCATCTGTGCATTTCCAAGTCATTCCACAAGTTTCAACTCTGAAAGTGCCCATTCTGAAGTTTGTGAATAAGGAGGGCATGACAGAGGAAATCATTTCCAAGTTTTTATTCGATTGTGAGAGAAAGAGTTTTGTGGTAGCATCCATGTTGCACCATTCGAGCTCTGGTTTAAATCTCAAACAATCTTCATCGAGTTACATGTATCAACAATTGGATATTCCTGAAAATTTGTATCCGTTCAAGGAGAGCAAATATCAAGTTAGAATTCAAGAAAATACTACCATGATGATCGTTCCAAAATTCCTATCCAATCAATTCTCCACAACATTCTTCTTCAAGATTGATCCACAACTCCAATACGATCAACAGATGGTTGCATTGAAAATGTTGGAATTTTTAAAGAGTGAATTTCCATTCACCTTTTCATTGGTAACACTTGAGAATATCTATTCGTGGTTTTCCAGCCATTTGGAAACAATACAGGATTATCAAGTTACTGCCTCCACTACTGAATGTATTGGATTTCTCAATCAATCAAGGATACCACATTTTGGAGATTATCAATTTATGGAGGTTTTCAAATTTATCAAAAATCTCGAAAGTTTGGGCATTCCAACAACCAAAAAGATTCCTGCTGAGGATATCAAAAAGTCTATGACTATTCTTGAGATTGACCAATTCAATAGTGTGAAGGCCATTGAGAGAACATTACATGATTATCAAGTAATGAAAAATACAATGTGGAGATTTACAGGACCTGTGTGGAACTTTTTGAAAATTCCTGTCATTACTGCCAAACAACACTTGATTGATGTATTTGGAAGAGAAACATCAAGAATGACCACAGCTCAAAAATGGAGGTACAGATTCATCTATGGCCTATCGGCAATTTTGCTCTATAAGGGTGCAAGTAATTGGTATCATGATAGAAAAGTGGCCAATGATATCATTCGCAAGATTGGAACTGAGAATGAATTGTGTAAGAAATTGATCAGAAGATGTGTTTCAGGAGATTGTGGCTCCAAAACTGTCAGTCTTATGTTACAGCATGATGAAGGATTGAACTTTTTAGAAATTAACACACTGGTTAATCTCTTAAAAGATTCCAGTAGTAGAGTGGAATTTTTGACACAGTTGGTCTTATCAGGAAATATCAAACAATTAAGTGGCACACAGTTATCTTCTCTTTTGAAATCGGCTAACCAATTCATGGAAGATGACAAATATGAATTATTACTCAAATTGTATCCATATGCACAGGTTTCACAACATGAAATTCCGTTAATAGTTTCCAATTTTGATTTTTTAAAGTATCAAGACAAAGCTAGGGAACTGTTACAACCTGGTTCAAGTAATCAATCACAATCATCGGGGGGTGGTGTACTTGCTCTTGCTGTTTTAAGTGTATTCTTCATGTTGGGATTGTTGTAAAATAAAAGATATATATTTTCCAAATAATTCTTAAATCAATTATTCCTCTTATTGTTTTAATAAAAAGAAGAAGGAATGATGTAAAAAGTATTGCAATATTAACTAGCTAATGGGTATTTCTGGTATACCTCGATCAGCAACGATATATTGACGACCTATATTCAAATTAATGGTGCGCTGCAGCCTAAAACAATGGAGCAGAGACGGGGACTTGAAATTGTTGAGTAACATCCATCGTAGAATAATTCCGTTCACGATCAAATTATTTGCAAAATTCTTACGATTATGGTGCTACCATTTTTTTAAAAATATTAATAAAAATAATTATCTAGAAGATATTCAACACAAAGATTCGTCAACTAATTTACTTCAAGAAATTAGAATATCTTTTAAAAAATCATCTTTTTGACATCATGGTTGACAATAATACCATCATTAAATAAGCGCCTATAATAATTGTTTTGGCGCAAATTCCTAATAAGGTCGCTTTGTTTTTGTACAATTCAACAAAAAGAGTCTTATTTTTGTCTTCAACAAAGCACAACATCAAAGCAAGCTTAACCAAGAGATTCACAAGAACTAATGGAGGCTCTTTGAAAAATAAATCAAAAAAAAACATCAATTTGGTTTTTGCTTGAGACACAACGGTTCAGAGTTTTATTTAGCCAAATTCCTATCTATCAATAATCTAGAAAATCGATCTGATTATTTTTCGGAATTGTCTTTTACTAGTGATTAGTAATAATAGAAAGTCTTAAGCTAAAAGCTCCGAAGAGTAAGTAGAGTCATATTTAATGTTTCTGACATTTGGTTCTGTATGAATACAATCTTGATGGTGCACTATGCTACTTTTGTGATACTACTGTTTTAAATAACAAATCTGATCATCATTGTTGTATACAAATATATTTGTATTCAATTTAATAATACTGTGGATCACAACTTTTTGTATTGGACGGATTACTATTCCAATTTTATACAATCACCTTTTATTAATCTACCAACAACACTTCTTACAACAATCACTGTGTATTCTTATACTCATCAACACTCGAAAAAACCAAAACAACAACAACAAAACGATGCAACCAATAGAAAATATGTTCTCTGGTCTCCTAGATTCGAGTAACAAACAAAACGAGGACTCCTCCAATGAAGTCACTTCAGTGGACAGTCCCTCAAAATCTAAAAAAGTGTCTGGTATTAGACGTGCTGCTTCAATTCAAGTCGGATTGAGTGATTTCGAATTGAGTGGTACTAATGTGCCTAATCCAGAATCTATTTCTTTAACACATTTGAGTAAATATGCTATCACTCTGGCTGGTATGCACGAAGTAGTAGAAGAAAAGAAGGAATTTGTCAAGCTTATCAAGAGATTAGACGAAACAGCCAGTATTATTACTCAAGCACACGATATTATTTATGAGGCAATTATGCAAAATCGTCGTATTACTAGTAGTGATGAATGGTTGGTCGATAATTTTTGGATGATCAAGGAACAAATCCACATGACAAAAAAACACTTGCCACTAGGATATGAAAAGGAAATGCCAAAGTTGAATAATACAAAATGTGCAGGTTATCCACGTATTTATGGTATTATTTGGGAATTGATTAACTTGGTAAATGGTCAAGTAACAGAAGAGAATATTTTCCAATTTGTCAAATCTTATCAATCTGTCAAACCATTGACAATTGGTGAATGTTGGGGTATTGGTGTTATGCTTCGTTTAGGTCTTTTAGAAAATATTAGACGTGTTGCTGATGGTATTATTAGCAGAAGACAAGATTGTAACCTGGCTGATGCTTGGGCAGATCGTTTATTAACTAGTGCTGAAAAGAGTAGTCGTGATGTTGTTCAAATTCTGTATCAATTATCACAAAGTGAACCTATTATTACAAATGCTTTCGTCTTACAAATTAGTCAACGTTTACAAGGTTCTGATCCTGTTCTTTCAATTGTAAATACATGGTTAGAACAACAATTGAGTATTAAGGGTATTGATATCGATCAAATTTTCAGAATGCAAAAGCAAGCTAACTCTTCTAATCAAGTTACAATGTCATATTCTATTAACTCTTTGAGATTAATTAACAATTTTAATTGGAAAGAGTTTGTTGAAAAATTGAGTCATATGGATGTTATTCTTCGTAAGGATCCTTCTGGTATTTATTCATATCAAAATTTCCATACCAGAGATAGATGTAGACACGCTATTGAAAGAATTGCAAAGAGATTCAAGATTGATGAAAAGCAAGTTGCCAACAAGGCACTTTCCCTAGCAAAGGAAAATCATGAAGTTTTACAGTCATGTGTTTTAGGATCACCAAGAAGAACAAGGTCTGGTAGTGATGCTGAACCTCCAAGCTCTCCTGGATCCTCTCCTACTGCTCTCTCACCTCGTAGTGCTAGTAATGTTATTAGGAATATGAATCCAGATCAAATGTATGACATGAAACTTATTCGTAGAAAAGCTTGTATTACCTATTGGTTGCTTGAAGATGAAGGTATTAAGGAATTGCATAGAGCTTTAGGTTTTAGAATGAGTCGTTTACCATTTTCATTTGATTTAAGATTCCCAAGCTTTATTACTTCAATTATTTTCTGGACTTGCTTATTTGCTATTGCTTACATTTTCATGACAAAACATTCTTACCAAACACAATTTGATAGATATCTTCCATTTAGTGGAGTGGAAAGTTTGAAATTATATTTTGTTTATGAAAAGTATCTTGCCTTGGTTTTATTGTATATATCAGTTTTATTTGTAGGAAGTCAACTTGCTGTTAGTTTGACTAACATGACTTTTGTTAGACTCAAATATCCAGCATCGTTGCCATCTATGGATTTCAGTACAACAGGTATTCCTGATGAACACAGATCTATTGTTGTAGTACCAACAATGATAACAAGTTCAGATGGTATTAATGAATTATTGTCAGATTTACAAGGTAGATATCTTATTAACAGGGACAAGAATATTGTGTTTGGTTTAATTACTGATTTTGGAGATTCAAAGACTGAAACTACTGAAAAAGATGATGCTCTCGTCAAGCAAGTTGTTGATGGTATCAATGAATTGAACAAAATGTACACAAGAACTCCTGAAGAACAAAGATACTCCAAGACAACTTTCTTCCTCTTCCACAGAAAGAGATTGTACAATCCAGTTGAAAAAGTTTTCATGGGTTGGGAACGTAAGAGAGGTAAATTGGCTGAATTCAATACATTTATTTTACATGGTGAAAAGGGAAGTTTCAGTCATATTATTGGTGATACTACCAATTTGAATACTGTCAAACACGTCATTACATTGGATACTGATACCATGTTACCTTCAGATGCTGCTCGTGGTTTGGTTGAAATTGCTGCTCACGTTTTGAACGAACCTGTTATTGATAATCAAACTAAACGTGTTACTCATGGTTATGGTTTGCTTCAACCTCGTGTTAGTAATGGTTTTACTGGTTCTACTAAGTCACTCTATGCTTATATGCACAGTATGGATTCTGGTTTGGATCCTTATACTAGAGAAGTTAGTGATGTTTATCAAGATACTTTTGGTGAAGGTTCATTCATTGGAAAGGGTTTGTACAATGTTGAAACTTTTGAAACTGTTTGTGGCGAAAAGTTCCCAGAAAATAGAATTCTCAGTCACGATTTGATTGAAGGTTGTTTTGTCAGATCTGGATTGACTTCTGGTATTGAAGTTATTGAAGATTATCCATCAAGTTATGGTGTTGAAGCCTCTAGAAGACATCGTTGGATTAGAGGTGACTGGCAAATTGCTAGTTATGCTTTCAGTCCTTTCATCTTGACTGCCAAGGGTTATGAAAAGAATACCTTGTCTGCATTGCATAGATGGAAGATTTTCGACAATTTGAGAAGATCTCTCGTTCCAGCTGCTATGACTTATTTGATTATGAGTACTGCTTTGTTCACTTCCTATCACTCCAAGTTGCCATTCGTTGCTGTTCTCGCTGTTCTTTCAATTTATCTCATTCCAACAACAATCAATACTATTATTGATGTTGTCAAGAAACCTGAAGATGCTACTTGGCAAGAGCACTTTAAGAGAATCCGTTTCAATCTCTTACGTACTTTTGTTGATATTTATGTTGAATTGGTATTCACTCCTTTCGAAGCTTACAACAATATTGATGCTATTATTCGTTGTTTATTCAGATTGTATGTTAGTGGTAAAGGTCTTTTGGAATGGACAACCTTCCAATCTGCTAGTAGTATTTACAAGACTAATTTGTTCTTGGCCATGTCTAGATTGTTGTGGTTCCCAGTCTTGTTGACTACCTCTATTATTGCTTACATTGTCATTCAACATAATACTGCTGTTGCTTATAATGAATGGCAAACGTATGGTTTCACTAGAAGACCATTCATGTTGGCCAGTAATCTTATTACCATTATTCTCATGTTTGCCAGTTGGATTCTTTCACCATTCATTGCCTACTACTTGAGTAAGCCATTGAAGAAGAATCTCTTTGAGAGAGAAAATTTCAATGACCTCACCAAGGATGACAAGGTCTTCTTGCATGTCTTGTCTCGTAGAACTTGGAGATTCTTTGAAACATTTGTCAGAAAGGAAGATAACTATCTCCCACTCGATAACTACCAAGATTTCCCAAAGCCAATGCTTGCTCGTAGAACCAGTCCAACTAATATTGGTCTTGCTTTGCTTGCCAATTTGGGTGGTCACGACTTTGGTTATATTACTAATAATGAATGTGTCACTCGTATTCACAATACTTTGTCTACACTTTCCAACATGGATCGTTATAAGGGACATTTCTACAATTGGTATGATACTCAAGATTTAAGACCATTGTGGCCTAAATACATCAGTGCTGTTGACAGTGGTAACTTGGTTGGTCACTTACTCATTTTGAAGGCAGGTTTGGTTGAATTGAGCGACAACGTTCCAATTATTAATACTGATACTTATGTTTCTGGTTTGAGAGACAACTTGTACAGTATGCAATTCATCCTCAAAGAAGTTGAAAAGACAACCGATACTGACGAAGAAGAACTCGTTTACTTTGACATTAATGAAATCAAGCCAATGATTGAAGACTTGCACACCAAGTTGGATAACAAACCAACTAAGATTTCCAAATTGATTCGTTGGTACACTGAAATTAAGGCCAGTTCCAAGAAATTGGAAGAAAGCTTGAATGAATCCCTCAACAAGCTTATTGAAGCCAGTAAGGATGACAGTCAAGCAGATATTGAATGGCTCGCTGAAGACATTGAAGAAAGGTGTGAAAAGCAACTCTTATTCTATTCTCAATCATTCGTTCATCTAGTCTCTGAAATTGCTCAAGAATTGAATGAATTGGTTCCATTCTCCAAGCATTGGGATTTGCCTGAGGAATTAGTTTCACCTCCAAGCTCATTGGCTGGACTTTTAGAAAATGAAGCTATCACTCAATTCACTCAACAATTCAACAAGATGAATATTGAACAATTGACTCTCAGAGGTATTCTTGGTGTCAAGGAACAATTAGGTATTTCAAAGGTTAGTAAGGTATTGGGAAGCCTTAAAGTTACTGGTTCAACCTCTAATTTATCATCTGGACCAAAGGGAGTTGAAGCTTTGAAACGTTGGGTTACAGAATTGGAAGAATCCATTGTCAATGCTGAAAGTGAAGCCAAGAAGCGTTGTAACAAGTTGAAACGTCTCATCAATACTACTGATGATTTGATCAAGCAAGACTTTAGCTTCTTGTATAATCCATCTCGTGATTTGCTTGTCATTGGTTACAATGTTGAATCTGACAGAATTGATCAAGCTCACTACGACATGTTCTGTTCTGAAGCTCGTCTTATCAGTTACGTTGGTATTGCTTTGGGCTATTTCCCAGTTAAACATTGGTTCTCCATGAGTCGTCTTATTACCACTCAAGGTACTCACCCAGCATTATTGTCATGGTCTGGTTCTGCCTTTGAATATTTGTTGCCACTCAACGTTATGCCAAATATTCCAGGTACTCTCCTCGATTCTACCTACCATGCTGTCGTCTTACGTCAAATTGAATATGGTAAACAAAAGAATATTCCTTGGGGTATGAGTGAAAGTGCTTACAATTTGATGGATGCTAATCTTGTTTATCAATATGGTCCATTTGGTGTTCCAGGTTTGGGTTTGAAGAGAGGTTTGTCTAATGACTTGGTTGTTGCACCATATGCTACTGTTATGAGTTTGATGGTTCTTCCAAAACAAGCCACCAAGAACTTGAGACGTTTGAACGAAATGAATTTCTTGGGTTGTTATGGTATGATTGAATCTGTTGACTTTACTCCTCACAGATTGAGAGGTAATATTGATGCTCAACCAATCAAATCTTTCTTTGCTCACCACCAAGGTATGTCATTCCTCAGTTTGTTGTACTGTTTGAAGGCACAACCAATGCAAAGAAGATTTATGGCTGTTCCAGAATTTGCTGCCAACGTTTTGTTGCTTCAAGAAAAGATTCCAACAGTTCCACACATTTCCAATCCAAATGAAAAGGAAACAGAACGTTGGAAGAATGTTGGCTACAATCTCCCTTGTGCTAACAGACAATTCCAAGGTTTACACACCTATCCAGAAGTTCACATGCTCAGTAATCACGCCTTGCACGTAATGTTAACTGTTAACGGTGGTGGTTACATTAAATATGAAGATATGAGTGTTACCAGATGGAGAGAAGATGCCACTCTTGATGGTTATGGTGTTTTGATTTATTTCAGAGATATGCAAGATAAGACTGATGTCTGGTCTGCTACATCCACACCAATCAAGGCCTCTAATGATAGTAATTATTCAGTCACTTTCAGTCAAGCTCGTGCTGAATTTAGAAGAAAACACAAGGGAATGACCACAGAAACAATTGTTACAGTTTCTCCATTGGATAATGTTGAAGTTAGACGTGTTAAATTTACCAATAATACTAACAAGACAAAGGAAATTGAATTTACCAGTTATGGTGAAGTTGTTTTGAATCAAGGACGTGCTGATGCTGCTCACAGAGCCTTCTCTAACTTGTTTGTCGGTACTGAAATTCTTCATCAACAAAATGCCATCCTCTTCTACAGAAAGCAAAGAGATCCAAAAGACAAGAAGGTCTTTGGTTTCCACATTTTATTCGTTCACGAACCAAAGAATATTATTGCCGAATCAACCTTTGAAACTGATAGAAGTAGTTTCTTAGGTAGAGGTTATACCATGCAAAGACCAAAGGCTCTCTCTGACGACCTTGGTCCACTCTCAAATACTTCTGGTTTCCCTCTTGATCCAATCTTTGCTATTCGTCAATGTTTGAGAATCAAGCCAGGTAGAACTGTTCACATTGATTATATTACTGGTGTTGCTTTCTCCAAGGAAGACGCTATCAGTGTTATTAAGAAGTATCAAAGCAAGAAGACAACTAACCACGTTGTTAACTTTGCTTGGGTTGCCTCTGAAAAGCTTTGCTTCCGTTTGGGTATTACTGAAATTGAAGCTCAATTGTTCTCAAAGTTGGCTGGTTGTATCCTCTATTCTAATCCACGTTATCGTGCTCCACCTGGTCTTATTACCAAGAATAAGAATAATCAATCTGGTTTGTGGAAGTTTGGTATTTCTGGTGATATTCCACTCATTTTGGTTCGTGTTTGCGATCTTGAACAATCATTCTTTATGCAACAAGTTCTCCAAGCTCACGCTTATTGTAGATGCAAGGGTGTTAAATTTGATTTGGTTATTTGGAACGATGAAACAACTCACTATCGTGACTTGCTCAATCAAACTCTCCATCATATCATGTCCCACATTCCAGGTTCAACTGATTTATTGCATCAACCTGGTGGTATTCACCCTGTTAGAGGTGACAGTTTGACCTCATTTGAAACTGTCTTGTTGTACTCTGTTGCTCGTGTCGTTTTATCTGACAATGGTGGTAGCTTAACAGATCAAATTAACAGAACTTCCAAGAAGGGATACGTTGTTCCTCCATTCCGTGTTATTACTCAACCTCGTGTCATTAAGGATACAATGAATACAGTTCCAAAGTTGCATGAAAGAGACCTCATTTTGAGAAACGATGTTGGTGGTTTCGATGCTAAGCGTAAGGAATATGTCATGATGTTGGGCAAGAATCATGTTACTCCAAAGCCATGGTGTAACGTTTTGGCTAACGATAGATTTGGTTCAGTCATCTCTGAAAAGGGTAGTGCTTACTCATTCTTCACTAATGCTCACGAATACAGATTGACTCCATTTAACAATGATGCTGTCCTCGATAACTCTGGTGAAGCATTCTATATTAGAGATGAAAGCACTGGTCAATACTGGTCACCAATGCCTCAACCTGTACCAATTGATAGAGATGATTACTATTACATTTGTAGACATGGTATTGGTTACAGTACTTGGGAACATTTCCATGATGGTATTCATACTGAAACTACCACATTTGTTCCACAAAATGAACCTGTCAAGATTATCTTGATCCGTGTAACTAACAATAGTGGTTTTGATAGAAACTTGACTGTTACTGGTTTTGTTGAATGGGTTTTGGGTGAATTGAGAGAATTGAATGCTCCACACATTATTACTGATGTTGAAAGAACTGACAATAGTACAGCTGTTATTGCTAGAAATAACTTCCATATTCAATTGTCTCACTTTGTTGGTTTTATGTCCGTTATTGGTCACAAGGAAGGTACAATTACTGGTGATAGAAATGAATTTATTGGAAGTAATGGTACTCTTGATAGACCTCAAGCTATGAAACAACAATACCTCTCAGGAAATGTTGGTGCTGCTTTCGATCCATGTGCTGCTATTCAAGTTCCAATCACTGTCGAAGATGGTAAAGTTGTTGAAGTTGCATTCATGATTGGTGCCAACTATTCTAGAGATGGTGCTAAGGATGTCATTTCTCGTATTCGTAGTAACCTCATTGTTAGACAATTATTGAACAGTGTTAAGGCCTTCTGGCACTATAATCTCAACACTATTCAAGTTGAAACTCCAAGCCCTGATTTGGATGTTTTGGCCAACGGTTGGTTGTTGTACCAAGTTTTGTCTTCTCGTATTTGGGGTAGATCTGGTTTCTATCAATCCAGTGGTGCTTTTGGTTTCAGAGATCAATTGCAAGATACTATGGCTGTTGCCTCTGTAATGCCTCAAATTTTGAGACAACAAATTCTCACCAATTGTGAACATCAATTTGAAAAAGGTGACGTATGCCATTGGTGGCACGACATTACTAACAGTGGTGTCAGAACTACATTCAGTGACGACTACTTGTGGCTTCCACTCGCTGTTGCTCACTATTTGGAAATTACTGAAGATTACAAATTACTCCACGAAAGAATTAGATTCTGTAAGCTCAGAGAAATTGAACCAGGTGAAGAATCAGTCTATGACAAGCTTGAATACACTGAAGAAACTGAAAGTATCTATGAACATTGTAAGCGTGCATTGAAGTATGGTTTCAAATATGGTGCTCATGGACTTCCTCTTATGGGATGTGGTGACTGGAACGATGGTATGAATCTCGTTGGTATTCATGGTAAAGGTGAAAGTGTTTGGTTGGCATTCTTCTTGTTCCACGTTTTGGAGAACTTTGAAAAGAATATCTTGGAAACTGAAATTAAGGATGATGAATTCTTAGAAGAATGTAGAAAGAATCGTGAATACATCAAGGCCAACATTGAAGGACAAGCTTGGGATGGAGAATGGTATCGTAGAGCCTACTTTGATAGTGGTGAGCCTCTTGGTTCTAAGGAAAATTCTGAATGCCAAATTGACAGTTTGCCACAATCATGGGCTATTATCAGTGGTTGTGTTGATAAGAAGAGAGCTAAAATGGCCCTTACAAATGCCTATCAAAGGTTGGTCAGACATGACTTGAAGCTTATTCAATTGTTCGATCCACCACTCCAACATCAAGAACCATCTGCTGGTTACATTCAAGGTTATGCTCCTGGTGTCAGAGAAAATGGTGGTCAATATACCCATGCTTCTATTTGGTTTGCTTGGGCTTATTCCATTCTCAAGGATAACAAGAAGGTTTGGGACTTGTTCGACATTTTGAATCCAATCAACCATGCCAAGACTAAGGAAGATGTTTGGAAATACAAGGTTGAACCATACGTTGTCACTGCTGATATTTACACATTGATGGATCACGAAGGTGAAGGTGGTTGGAGTTGGTTCACTGGTTCTGGTGGTTGGTTCTATAGATTAATCTTGGAAAGACTCATTGGTATCAAGAAGCAAGGTAACTCTCTCAAATTCGATCCATGTCCAAAGGAAGATTGGAAGAAGTATAACATTAATTATCAACATGGCAAGACTGCTTACCAAATTCAAGTTACAAGATCTGAAGAAAATGTCATGATTGTTGATGGTGTTAAGAGAGCTGATCCAACTCGTATTCCACTTGTTGATGACGGAAAGACTCACAAGGTTGAAATTTATTACAAGTATTAATTAATAAAGTTAAAATAAATTAATTTTAAATCTCTACCAACTTATTAGTTATCCTGATGTCTTTAATTTTAACATTTACAGACATAGATGAATCAGATAAGGAATACCACAAGTTAGAATTAGCAAAATAGATTTTATACAATAATATTAATAAATTAATCATCAGCAATATAAACTTTCTTTCTGGAAAATATTTTGATGGCTTCGTCAATTTCTTGTAATTTCCTTTCCATATTATTTTTCTTTTGTTGTAAGAATTGAGTATCACACAACATTGGAAGCTTATTGATGGCACCCTGCACTTCTCTCTTACTCTTCTCGAGTTCAGTAAGAGTTTCAAGTCTATCTTCTTCAGAAACTAATCTCATTCCAGGAGGACATTCATCCTTCTTCTTTTGTTCTTCCTTTTCTTTTTGTTCCTTTTCATGTTTGATTGCTTTTCTATCTTTAATGCTATGAATATTTAGCAAAGAAATTTCAAGATTTAAAAACTTACTATTGAGGCACTCTTCCAAAATCTTCTGGCTTTTCAAAGTCTTCCTTTACAGCTTTCGATGCCACTTTGGCTTCTCCCTTTTTAGCGATTGATTTCAAATCCTTGGTTGCGTTTTGTACAATATAATTTTTAGAGTCTCTATGTGTGACTGGTTCATTAAATTCCTCCTTCTTAGGAATTGGTGGTTTCTTCTCGTTGGCTAACATTTCCTTCTCCTTCTTTACTTCAAATGCAATTTCCTTCTTTTTAATATTTTGTTCGGTTATTCTCTCCCTATTTGCACCTGATTTCAAATAATTTTCATTCACTGGATTCTCGGGAGTGTAATCTTGTGCTTTAATATCCTTCACCTTTGATTCAACCTCCTTGTATTTTTGTAGTTTAAATTCTTCCTTCTTGATAGCATCCTTTTCCTTCTTTAATTTATTTTCGTGTTCCTTTTCTTTAAGCGCTTTAAGATTTTGATGCATATGATTTTTAGGTATGATACCTTGCTTTTCCTGTACTCCTCTGTATCCGTTCACAGGATGAAGAAAATTTGAAATTTGACTTGAATCCGAATGATGGTGTTTGATCATTTTTTTTTATAGTATGGTGGAAATGAATTGTAATTTTGGCGCCAAATGTTAGTTTGTAGTTATTCTTGGCGGGAAATTCTACTTCTCTTTCAGAAAAGGATATTAATATTCTAATCCTAGAAAATATGAGATTGAGATTGAAAATTATTAAATAATAGTCTGTGATTGATTCTTGTCTGTTCTTTGCAGTACTTTATCTATCTCTTTCAAGAGAGATAGAAAACAAAATTGTTCTACTGTCTCTTTTTGCCAGTCATGAGGAATTGAGTAATAAATCTTACCAAGGAAAGAAATGAGTTTTCCTTATTGGATCTAATTGAATTTTTTGCTAATTTATCACCAATTCCTAAAATTGAGGTCGAGAGAGGTATTATGAGTCCAATATGTAGTAAGACAGTAACTAGATGAAGAAAGTTGTTGAAATGAAAAACTCTCTTCATCAAGGTACCAGCACTCGAAGAAATATCCCAAGCATGGTTTGGATTGACCAGAGTTCTATTCGGATGCATGTTTTGTTCCAATAATACGACCCACTGTTCTTCATCCTTTTCATTCATTTCGGAATTAGATGGCTTTTGCCTCTTTTTTAATTCATTCACATAATAATAGGGAGGGCCTCCCAAATGATCATATCGGAGTGAATGATAAGCTAATTGTTGAAGAGGATCAACCAAGTCAATATCCTTGTTATAATTCGGAGGAACATATCGTTCACCCAAACTACTTCCACCTCCAAATTCCCTCCTCAAATCCCAATACATCTCCTCCAATTTATTATTGGATTTCCTTTGCATCATTTTCAAATTAATAATTAATTTTGACTGGTACTGATGACAATCCAAAATATTAAATAGTATTTTCTACCTCCGAAAAATAGTTCATTCACCTTCTGTATATTATTATCAGACTACCATCAACAATCCAAGAAGCGACAACTTTGTTTGTGGGAAGAAATTGGACTCTTTGTGAACGTTATTTTTTTCGCTGTGTGCGTAACGATTTGGTTTTCGCGGGCAATTTGTTACGAATTGTTACCAAAAGTACAAGTAAAATTCTCTCCAAAAAAAACTTTCTCTCTTTCACCCACTACGGCAGTTAAGAGCTCTTCAAATACAACAACAATAGCAAGAGAACATTATTTTTGACTGGTCCACTTTAAAACCTGTGTACAAACAACAAGGAACAGTGTGCTGCATCAAGGTCGCATCAGAAAAACTTGTTTTACTAGGCGAAAGGTTTTGAAATTTACAGTCATTATCATCAAGTACCGGTAATAAGGTCGAAAATTGCTCTCATCAACATCATCATCATCTATTTATTGGACAATTTGTAGATAATCCATCATTAATTTGATTGGATATGAATATAATATAATACAACAATGGAAGATAAATCTGCAATACATAACGATAACTATCAGGGGAGTGCTGTCGTTCTTGCTCGACTCAACAAACGGTCTTCTTCTATTGTTATTGGACATCAATCTAGTGATGACGACATATCGATAGATGCAGAAGAGAATAGAAATAGCTCTCCCTTTTATAAATCTGTAAAGTTTTCGCTCTTAATGTTGGTAGGAGCTTCAGTACTACTCACAGTTGTACTTTTAACATTAATATGGATACCAACTTTTAGTTCTAGTATTTATACCCTAAGTGAAGCCAATAGGCTCAAAGAATTTAACTCTATAGTTTCCTTTGTTTCACAAACTGTGCGAGAGATTGTGATGGTTTCAGAGTCAAGTAAAAATTTGCTCAAATATGACTTTAATGTATCAGATGTGTCTGTAGTCGAACGAGCCATGTACCAAATTTATAAGAGCGAACAAAAATTTCACAAAGGCTTAACCTATTCGACCTACATTGGTGATTCATTTGGCAATTTGGTTGGCATTGTTGACTTGAATGGAAAGCACATGTTTGTACTTGTAGATAGTAACAACACGCAGTTATTTGAGTGTGTAGATATTTGGAAAAATGATTTGTGTGTTAGATCGCAAACACCCAACACCAGTGCACCAAGATTGGACATGAGTGTTGTTGTGGAGAGAGGGACCTTATTCTTAAACTCGCCCTCCTTCACTCTAAGCTATGTAGATTCAAGGTTTCCCTACACTGTCTATATTACATTAGTGAATAGTGTGAGTAAGGCTGAAGATGCTTCCCTAGGAATTCCCTTTTCATTTTATTTTGGTTATGATATCTCAACGACACGAATTTCGAACTATCTCAATAGTGAATCCTCAGATATACCCAACTCATTGGCCTACATTCTAGAGTCATCAACAGGCAATATTATTTCCAGTAGTTTCAATGATTTTTACTATGGAACACCAAATGCTAGATCCTCAATTACTAATTTCCCAGGTGGAGGAAGAAATAAGTATATTGCGGAGACTATTCTCGGCAACTTGAATTCAAACATTAGAAATCTGAGGTGTGGTGAGCAGTTGTTTCTCTCACCAGGTGATGAATACATAACAGCCCACAGAATTTGCCTCGAAGAGAACATTGATTGGATTATTGTTTTTGCAGTGAAACAATGGACCTATGTTTCTACAATGGTTGTGGCAATTGTGGTTGCTCTTGTTGCAAGTACAGTTGTTACAATTATTGGATTCATCATTGGAATTTTCTTTTCTTTGAAAATGGTGGAGCCATTCGACTCTCTCATTGCAATGGTCAGGTCCGTCTCTTATATGGACTTTGCTCTTCCAAAGATTGAACCATCCTTCTTCTCTGAATTGTCAGATTTACAACAAAACTTTTTACTCATGATTAGTAAAATTAAGAGCTACAGAGCCTTCATTCCAAGTCACCTTCTTTCAGAATTGGATGCTCCTAATGAGAAGGCTCTTGTGGAGGATATTCAAAATAAGAAACCATCTGGAAATTTGGTGAGAAGACTCTCCTCTTCAAAGAGATTATCTCAGGGAGCACTAAGGAAGACTATGGTATTTGCACAGAAGGATAGATTTGCTCTCGGATTGGAAGACAGATGTATCAGCCAAGTCTGTATTTACATTCAAGGATTCAAAACAATAACAGAAGATTGTGATTTGAAAGACATTGTCTTTTTATTGGGAGAAATTTATGATTCCCTTATAAAGACAAGCAAAACCACAGGAGGTCAAATTGGATTATTCGAAAATAACTTGGTAACCATGTCTTGGAACGCAACAAAGGATCAACCAAAACATGAACTTAAGGCACTAAGCACAGCAACCTCATTCTTACAAAAAATTAACATTATCAAAGAAACCAGATGGAGATCGTATGAAGTCTTCAGAACATTCCCAAAACTCTTAGAGAATATTCATTTTAGAGTATCAGTTTCATCCCAATTGTGTCAGTGTGGTAATATTGGTACTGAAGAATTTAAGAGTTTTACAATCCTAGGAAGTATACAAAAGAACCTTTTCAGTCTTGTAAATATTGCAAAACAATTCAATCTTGGAGTGTTAGTGACTGAAGATATTCACTCTGCATGTGTAACAAATTTTACAATGAGATATATTGAAAATGTAGACCTCGCTGTAGATGTAAGAAGGGCAAGAAATAATTTTGCAGAACCTCTCAAACAAAAAAGCACAAAACTATATGAAGTTGGAGAAAGTACAGCTGTTAATATTGATGAGTGGATGTACGAGCTTCAAGAAAAGGAAAAGAAGGAAAGGTGGTTAAATTACAATAGAGCTACCTTGTCCTTCTTTGAAAAGGATTACAATGAAGCAATTACATTAATGGATGAATTTTTGAAAAAGTTTCCAGATGATTTACCAGCACTTCACTTTAAAGCAAAATGTTATTCATACTTGGGAAACATCTCTCATGTTGAATCTCTAGAGGTATTAAGAAAGAACAGTTTCAAAGATAAATAACATACTACTACTAGGTTGACAGCTAAAGAATCTGATGTGCAACAAATCAACAAGTGATTTGTGAAAATAAACAATAAGGATCTCACATCATAAAAAATGGGTAAACATCAAGACAGCACTGCATCATCTGCTCCCAATAATCTGTCTTCCAGTTGGAAGATTTGTATGGTGTTGATTTTCTCCGTTATTTTATTTAATTTATTACATGGTGTGAAATCTTCATCCGATCCAACAACTACCACCACAATTACTGCCAATGATTTTATTAGAACAATAGCAACAGAACAATATGATCGAACATTGTTACCTACTAGAAGAAATCAAGCAAGTGTCATGTCTCTGATGCTTCCTAAATTCATTAACATTCAACCATCAGGTCTTCAAAATTCCTTTCCCTATAAACTCTTCCTCTACAGAGAGAATGAACAACAAGACTCAACACAGGAACAACAACAGAAGGTTAGATTGGATGGTTTTCCACTCTTGTTCATTCCACAGGCACAACATGGATCCTATGCAGATGCCAAATCACTTGCATCAACTTTATATGAATTGAATGGACATTCAGAATATAGAAAAGAGGTCTATACTCAAGCTAGTTATATTCATCAAATGACCAATGACATGACCTCTTCCAATAGATTTGGTTTCAATGACACCAATGATAAATCATCAGAAGAAAAGAATGATGAAGGTCAATTGATTGGATTTGATGTTTTCACAATTGACTTTAATGATGGAGAATGGAGTAATTTTCACAGTGGACTTCAAAAGAGACAAGAGGAATACATTAAACAAATTGTAGAGTTTATTCTAAAGGGACTTTATAAGGGATATCACAACAAGTTAATGATTGTTTCGTATAATAGTGAGCATGGATTTGAGAAAGTTTCGGATAGTGTTTATTTGGCTGTTACAATTCAAGCTGGAAATGGAAAGATTTTGTGGAATATGCCAGGAAAGGAAAAGAAGGAAGTTAAAATTCCTGAAATGATTAACATTTTGGGAACTAGTACCATTCCACATATTTTCTCAAATATGGACAAGTCTGCAATGAGATGGACTAAACAATTGCAACAAGTTTTGGCAAGTATTTTGCTTAGTATTGGAAATTCAGGTGCCAATTCTGAACATGGCAATTTGGACATGTCTGTAGAGGATAGAGATTTGATCATTTCACAATATCTTTCTCTCAAAACCAATTCAATTCCAGATTCTCTCTTGTGGGACGACTATGCAGCCAAGAGAGAAAATGTTAAGAAGGTTACACTCGGTAATAAGGAAATTGTCGAGTTGAGTCTTGGAAAGATTGAAACTGTTAAATTTGGAAATCAAAAGGTCTTGTATTACATGTTGAATACTGATGCTTTGCAAGAGGAGGTCAATACCATCTATATTTTCACAAACTTCTTCAGACACGAAGTGGATATCTTTATGAGCGAGGACCATAAAGTGGGTGGAGAAGATAATGGACCTACTGTCGTCTCTAAATCAATTTTCAAACTCTACAAGCAACAAATTACAATGTTGCCTTACTTGGAAACTGATGAAGATCATTTGGAAAGATACAATTCCAATCAACAAGTTGCCAAGGTCATGATTAAGATTCCTAATATTAAGGATCAAGTTGCTAAGAGAAAGATTTATGTGAGACTCACTAGTTTGTATACCAATGAAGAATTATCAATGGGAGCTGAGGAATCCTATCCGGATCGTTACTTGGTTGCCTCTTCTCATCCAGGAACATGGAAGGAAACATCAAAGAACTTTATCAAACCGCATGTCATTGAGAATACTAGTGATTTATCTGTTGATTTCTGGAAGAGCGGTGTTAGTGTTAAATCTCCAAGTCCATACATTGTTTTGACTCATTTACCATTGACCTACTCTTACAAAATGTCAGTGATTAATACTCACTGCTCTGATTTGTATCCAGTTGTGCAATTCCATTATGGTAGCATGTTTGAGTTTGAATCTCAATATATTCCATTGAGATATTGTGGAGAAAATATCATTGATCTTCAATTCCTCAATTTGACTGACATTTCCGATAGAAATGATGAGAAATTGAAGGGAATTGCCGTCTACTTTTTGAATACCAATGAAAATCAAACAGAATTTGAAGTGAGCTTCAAGGTAGATTTGGAAGAATCTTTCATTCACACCATTACCACTCAACATCTTCACACATTGGCTTGTGATATCTTTGTCATTGTTGTCATATTGCTTGCTTTCGAACATTTGAAATTGTCTCCAATTGTCTCATCCATTCTAATGCTCATTTTGTGTCCAGCAATTGCCTTCTTGCAATATCTCACTATGGGTAAAGTTTTATACATTACCGACATGAGCTTGATTAATTTGAGTGTTTGCTTGATTTATTCATGGGTTGCTGTCTTGTTGGTCATTCTTGCATTGAGAATTATCACTCTAGTTTTTGGAGTGGCTGCAAAACTCATTCCTTCCTCTTTTGTAATGGCCATTTCTGTTGCTCTCTTCACAGCAAGTTTTGCTTTTGATCCAGCTCTTCCTTTCACTCTCTTGACATTCATTTATATTTTCAAACATTCATCTCAATCAAACATGACAAGTGTCTTGTACATGTTAGTTTCCTTAGTATTAATGGGTCCAAGTACTTTTGCTTTTATTAAGGAATGGAATTATTGGATTGAATTGAAGAAACCAACACAAACCATCTTTTCAGTTTTACCTGCATCTGTCTTGACAAGAGTTTGCTCACCAATCATGTTGATTCCATTCTATTTGAATGCATTGGAATTGAGATGGTTAAAGGTGAAATCATTTGGAAATTTGGTTGGCTTGTTGACTTTATTGAGTGGAATTTTGTTGGCAATTGTGGCCAAGATTGAAACGTATTATATTATTCCAGTGTTGGCATTTGTTGTCATTTTGAATGTTGTTTCGACCAGAAATTAATAATGAAATAAAAATCTTAATTTTTTTAAGGATTATTAGAATCGATAATGTTATTATTTCAATCAACTAATTACGTTTATTGAGAAGCAGATGATGAATTTGATGATGAATTATTAGCAGCAACTTCAGAAGAAAGTAATTGATCGAACCAATAATCATTGACAACTCTCTTTGATTTGGTCAACAAGGTTTGCAATTCTTTCAAGCTCTCTACTTGCTCGTCAATTAATCTTTGAAGGTACCCAGTTAATGCAAAGTCCTTTTGTTGTTCAGCTCTGTGATACAAGTGTGAAATTTTATCATAAACCATTCTTTCAGTTTCGATTGCCAATTCGAACCCTTTAGTAGCCATATGTAATTGACCAGTACTATCACTTGAATCAAAAACGTCTGCAAACTCAGGTGGTGCATTGATCACAGTGAATTTAACCTTTCCTCCTCTAGAATTTTGATAATTAATCAAAGATTGAGCATGTGTTCTTTCTTCACTTGCCTGGTTGTGGAAATAACTTGCAACACCTGGCAAGGCAATAGTTGGCTGAGCAAAATAAGTTGCCAATGCTGTGTAAAAGTAACTAGCATTCAATTCATGATTAATTTGTTCATTGACAAGTTTTTCACATTCAACAGTGTAATTGTAACGAATCTTGTTGAGAGTTGGATTAGAATTGTCGAGTTGGAAGGATTGGGAGTGGAAAGAACGAAGGGATGTTGTTGATGAGAAAAAGTTGGTTGTATGGGTGTTTCTGATTGACTTCGTGGTCAATTGGGTGAGAATTCGTCTAGTGTTGTTGATCATTTTTTTTGTTAGTTTTGATCTCTGTCAATCAAGGATGTTGCAAAGATGACGACATCTTTGAGGATCACTTTACAATGTATACCTTTAGAAAATTTTGAATGTGAATATTTAAATTTACTTAAATATTATTTTAATTAACTTAATCAGCAAATTAATTTTGTGAATCTTCATAGAATTATCAAAATAAATTGTAAATCCAAATCATCATTGAAGGATATTCCAAGTTAGTTGAATTCCAAACCAAACCACCCATACTGTAAGGTAAAACTATTTCACTTTTGAACAATAGATTGTTCAAAATGGTACTTTTACACTCTATTTTCTGGAACTACATTGTGATGACGAATGAGCAATTTGGTAGGTGAAGAAACAATGGCAATATTATTGGGTGATCTTGGAGCAGAGACAGAATCTCTTGTCTTGTAAAATTTCTCAGTTTCCAAAGTCTCCAACAATGGGATAAACACAAAGTAAACAATAATTAAAAAGCAAACTAATACATCGCAACAAATAAAATTCACAACGTTGAAAAAGCGAACCAGAACATCATAAAGTAATGAGGTTGGCTCTACATTAATGGATTGAATGATAGTAAAGAGAACCTCACCACTTTTCCCGAATATTCCAAAAACTGTGAAAAAGCATGTAATGATGATTTGACATGCCAGAACTTTCCTCTTTAACCTCTTGTTAATTAACTTTCTATAGAGCTTGACACTGTAAAAGTTAAAGGTAATGAAAAATGAAAAATAGAAGGAAATGTAAATAAGGAGAGAACTCAATGGAAATGCACAATAACCTCCATATCGTGTCAAGTGACTATAAATAAACTCTAATTTGTGATGTTGAATATTATAGCTTAACACTACATCAACAATAATTGAAGCTATTTGAAGAATAGTAAAGAATGAAGTTAGAATGAGTGTACGTATGAAAATGTTGGTGTTTTCCTTTCTGACATTGATGGTAAGATGGGTTCTTTGGAATTCTTGGACGGACGGTGCATTATTCTTGATAAAGCTTTGCCCATGGTCTCTAGATCTTGGTGATATTTGGATTGGTTCCTCCTTATTACTGCTTGAATCACTTCGAGGAGATTTGTGAGAGTGTGATTCGGATTTTCTTCTAGAATGATTTCTATCAGAGGTAGATGGTGGCCTTTCTACAATATTTTTACTCGCAGAGCTAGATCTAAGTAGGGGTTTTACAGACCCATCATCTATTGTAACACCAGTCAAGTGATTATTCTCAGGCAAGTCAAGTTTAGATTCCTCATCAACGACAACATCCACCACAGAGGTAGACCTAGCAAGTTTTGGTTTCTTATCTTTTAACTCTTCATCTTCTGCTGCAGTTGTTGTGGTAGCAGCAGCTATTGAAACCTTGCTTTTAGGTACTGTTTTTGTAAAGTGAGTATCAGTTTTCTTACTAGGAGTGAGTGTATGACTAAGGATGAATAGCACTGAACATGTAGCAAGTACAAATCCGAAAAATTCGAAAGGTTGTATTATTCTACATGCAATGTTATTAGAAATACTGGAAGAGTCATAACTGGTATTTGGATTCTTAATTTCAGTCCACCAAGGTTGTTGAAACAGTAATACTAGAATACCAAAGAAGGAATGCACAATAGCACCCAGAAGAGCAATAACTCTCGAAGGCCACAATGATAAGAAATAATTCTTTCTATTTCTTATCAGTACAATTAGAGTAATCAGGTAAAAGAGCAAGGTGAGTGTACAAATACTAACTCCCACATATTCCAGCACTGAATCAACTGTTTGCATACTCTCCGATGCTTCCTTATCATCTGTTATATTGAAAGGTATTGATAAATCCTGTTTTGAAGTTGGAAAATAATTGAAAATGTTAGAAGTTGTTGTAGTTATTAAATTATCATGTTGATGTGAAGATGAAGAAGAAGATGAAAATATCGAAAATACTGATTCTAATGATGATTGATCTTGTTGTATTAAATTATTTAAATTAGCAGCAATATGGTTGTATGAAGAAGAACCCGACGAGAATGAACTCTCTAATTCCTTCTGCCTATAATCACTCTTTGTTATCCACGGTGATACTGATGATGATGATGATAAGAAGTCCTTCAGAGATGATACTGCCCCCACCACTGAAGATGATGCCGATAGAAAATCACCAACGGCTTGCCTCAGCAGCAGCAACATTGTACTATCAGCCATTTTTCTTTTCTTTTTGGCGCCAATTACTACCAAAATGTAACTGCTTTCTCCAAAATGTTCAACTAGCCGTTATCGAGTTTTTCTCCTATAGCTAAAACGAACGTTTAACTTTAAGGATATAAGAAAATATATTCACAGCTGAATGATCACACCTTTGCAAAGTGTTATTAGATGAAGGTTCATTATTTTATAAAAGGATCAAGAAGTGAATCAACTCTAAATTGGCTCTGGTCTTTTTCAAGCGAATATCCCCACAATATTATCAAAAGAAGATTGAAGATAAGAATAAATTCATAACAATAACCAATAGATAGCACAATCCATTGGCCACACATAATGAACCTTGATCAAGTGAGTGCCGAAGAAGAAATTTCTTAACAACAATAAGAAAAAATGTTAGAACAAGTAACAACAGCAACAACATCGGTCGTTGGCAATAATAATACTATTAATAATAATAGCACTGGCAACAATGATCCATCATCAAAGTCTACGAATGATGGGAGTGGTTTTACATTTGTTGGGCGATTTAATTTTAAAGTGAGAGCAGAAAGACAACATCACCACCATCATCACCATCATCATCACAATCAACAAGAAGAAATTTGTAATCAGCATCATCAACATACAGAACAATGTGTTGGTCATCATCAACATGATAATTGTTGTGAGCATAAGAATGGTGGTGAAGAAGAAATTCATTCCGATCAAAGTTGTTCTTCTGCCAAGCAAGAATGTAAACATGAACATCATCACCACCATCACCATCATCATCACGATTATAAAACATTGAGTGTTTTGGTGATGGGCCATGCAACTGGTTCAATTTCATTGTTTGCTCAGGGAGCATCAAGCTTGCATACTGAAGAGAATGTTTCCAAATTTCCAATTTCTAACATTTTAAAGATGGAATCGAATATTATTTCTGATATTGATCAAGAGTATATTACAACTGCTATTACTAAAAAGAAGAATACCATTAATTCGCAAAACTTTATTGTTACAAGTTCTGGTAATGGTGTGAAATTCTGGAAGATTGAAGCAAAGGAAAAACAGGGAATTATTGGATTTAAATTTACATTGCTATTGGAAAGCGTACTTTCTAATTCAAAGATTGTTTCCCTACATAATTCACACGATTTAATTATTGCTATTGCTGAGAATGGAACAGTTGGTGTGTGGAAAATTAACATTGACGGACAAGTAGTTAAACTATCCCTCTATAATTTTGGAAGAATTCACAAAGTGGTGAGTGTTTGCTCTAGTAGAAAGGATAGAGTGAGGCCAAACGCAATTCTTGCCTATAGTTATTTGGCTGTGGCATTCTCTGATGGTATGATTGGAATTTACGAGCCAGATTATGATATTTTGAGAAATGATATTTCAAAAATTGGTGTAACTGAAGAGTACAATTCATTGAGGTATCAATTAGAGAATGTCATGACTCTCAGAATGATCATTCATGCCTTTGAGAACTTTACTTGGAGTGGAGAGAATTTATCATTTGAGAAACCATTCAATGTTAGTAATGATGGTAAAACCTACGAGTTGTGCAATATTACTCTCCCTGAAAATAATGAACAATTATACACTCTTATCAAACGAGATGGTGATTATGTGATAAAGGTTTTCAACTCGGCCACCTATGGTAAACATAGTACAGTTACAGAATTTACCACAGAAGCCATGGCTGAAGGAGTGCATTCTAACATTTTTGATATTAGAATTATAGGAGGTTTATTAGTTGTTTCGAGTGGAGACCTTGTCGAAGTTTATAATGCACAGAGCAAGAGTAGTAAATGGTGCTCTCTATTAAGCTACGAGGAGGAAGATACTCAGGAGTGTGATTTTGGAGTGCAAAGTATCTCATTTGATGGTAAGAGAGCTCTTCTCTTAGGTTGTACAGATTCACGTATTCGTGGTATTGTTTTGGATGTTCAACATCAACAACTTTTAGGGATGAATCATATTGATAATGATTCACACGATTTGGAAACTTTTGAAGTGGATTTACCAACAACAATGAATTAAATAAATAAATTGTTTTTGTTCTCATTTAATGCATGGCTTGGATTTCTATATCAGAAAGGCATGGTATTCCATTCGAAATCTTCTTTAGAATGGCGTAGGTAAAAAGGAAGTGTGACTTGTCGTCATTTGCAAGGTAAGCAATTGAGTAAAACTCTCCACATTCCAGCAAGGTTCTACTTGGTATGGAAAGATCTCTACAGCTTGGGATGGCTGTGAGTGTGGAGGTACTCTCAAATTCGTCAGTTCCAAGCTGTCCATTATTATTCTCTCCTGATACATACATTTTTCCAGATTCTCCAAGACAAATATAAAATTGCCAACCTGCTCCAATTGCTGTATTTTACGATTACATAAAAATGTTAATTAAACAGAAAGTTCAAATAATATATAATAAATGTGAAATTATTAATACTTACCACAAACTGGTTCATTAATGTTTAGCTTGGAAAATTCATGTGTAATGTATTTTCCTGTTCCCCAAACTTCATTATTTTCTAATTGTACAAGTGTGTGAAATCCTCCACAAACTACATTTCTAATTCTCTGTCCAGAAAATGGAGTTGTGATTTGAGTAAATATTTCAGATCCACCATTATATGCCGTTGAAAGTTGCAAATCTCCATTTGTTCCACATCCAAATAATTGAGTTTCTGTGGCAAGAACAGAGAATTGAGCACCAGTAGAAATACAATCGATTTGACGAGCATCAAAAGGTACGAGTGAAAGAGTTCCATATGAATCACTTCTACTTCCTATACCTAATTGTCCATTAGAATTCCATCCTATTAAAGTATTATACAATCATTCGGAAGGTCAAAGTTAATCAGCCACATGTTAACATTGTCAACAATAAATACATCATTTAGATCACCATTAAAACCATAATTTAGATTGATCTACTACTTACCTGTACCATAAATCTTTGATCCACAAATTACAAAACAATGGACTGCATTTGAATTGGTAACAAATCGATCAATTCTCAAAGAAGAGATATTATTTGGAGCATGCATTTTAAGATAGGTCTTATCAGCAGTCGTATTTTCCCATCCTGACCAATAAATGTGTCCATGTGCTGTCACAACATAGGTATTAATCTGTGTGCAAAATACATCAACAATCTTATCTCCATATTCAACAAATGATGGAATTAAATAGAAGGATGTAAAAGTAGACTCCTTTCCATAGATTTGACCATGTTGATTATGTCCAATACCAAACAATCTTCCATCATTTAGCAATATCATGGTATGCTCTCTTCCACAAGCAACCTTCTTTACTCTTGACAAGTTCGAAACACTATCGGGTAAAATTGTGATCGGAGAGAAAGTGCTACTCTTATCAACTTTTTTACATGATTGACGATAATTGTTAGCTCCCGTTGATAATATGTATCCTGAGGCTGAATATCCCATTTTCTCTTTCTCTTGTCTTTATTCTCTCTATATAATAATAATTATAATAAATTGATTTAAATTGTCTCTTGTTATTTACAATAAAATTGATCGGAATGTGTAGTGAGTATCAAAATATCATAAAATCCACAATGTTCTTCTATTCCTACTTTGTTATTGCTCTGTGATCACAAAAGTTTTGCTTTTTTCGCTGTTGATCAAAAACAAATAACAATTCCTATTGTCTGTGTCTTGTTATTTTTTTCTATTTTTAAACTTGGAGATGGAATTTTCCTAAGTTCGTATGATTACTACTTGGTATTGTTGAATTTAAATTATTAAATAACGTTAACTTTGAAAAATTAGTAATAATGTATGTTTAACATTCCGATAATTTAGTGTTTCATCTTTCTATCAGGAATATAGAAATCTTGCAATGGTGGCTCCAATCTTTTTCCGTGTTGCCTGATGATAAGTTTTATTTTAGATTGGATCCACTTTTAATTATTTAAAAAAAAATAGCTTAACACCTCAATCAGTCAATCTCAACCGTTTCTTGAAAATGGAGAGTAAAATACCTCTTCACTACCTTCCCGAGGAAGAGAATGATCAAAGCTTAAGGTATATGAAAACAAGCTCTTCCACTTCTCCACTCGTCAAGAGGGAACGTGCCACTCCACTCAATGCTGAACACTCTAAAAAGGTCAAATTTATTGTACCCAATCTTTCTAATCCCGATCAATCAAAGGAAACTAATGTGAGTATTAAAGTAGATGATGATGATGAGAATGATGTAATTGTCAATGTTGATATGGTTGATGGAAACATGTTGGATAAATATCAACAACGAGTGGTTGATGCTGATGATTCTTCACTGATGGTTTGTGCTTCACCTGGAAGTGGAAAGACCTTCACCATGACAATGAAAGCAAAGAGAATTATCAATATGGATAAAAGTGCACGTCTCTTGATTTTGACCTTCTCAAAGGATGCATCTGTTGAGGCAGATAAACGTCTACAAAAGTATGAAGTTCCACACAATTACAATGTCATGACTATTCATGCATTTGCATTGAGTGTCTGCAGAATGTTTGGAACCAAAACACAAATTGCAAAGAGGGACTTTCTTTTGGAAAAGTTAAAGGAAAAGAAGAAGGAAATGAAATGGAAATTTGGAGAATTCAAAGAGGAACATGAATTATTGAAATGGCTGGAAAAGGAATATGGAAAGGGAAATCGTTCTGATTCTGGCTATGGATCATTCTATAAGGAAGCATTTGAGTATTATGAGAGTATTATTAAGGATTTCCTTGTACTACCTTCATTGGTTTATGAAGCAGAAAAGATATTGAAGGAAAATGAAAGAGCTAGAGAATTCTATCATACTCATTTCACTCATATTTTGGTGGATGAGTTCCAGGACACCTCAGATCATCAGTACAATCTAATTAATTTAGTGAAAGGGCCAAATACTAAGATAATTGTCTTTGGTGATAAGAACCAGGCAATTTATGGTTTTATTGGATCCAATCCAAAGATTTTCGACAAGTTTCAACACGATTATCCAAGTGCTAGGGTTTTGGAGCTGTTGATAAATTATAGAAGTAGTAGTGAGATTGTGGATATTGCTAACAAATTCTTCAATACGAAAGCTAAGGCTTTCAATACAGAGAGCAAGGGTGGAGCAATTCGAAAGGAGAGATGTTCTGGTGAAGGAGATGAGCTAGATTTTATAGTGAAAGAAATTTCCAAACTCTTGGAAGAAGGAGTACAACATAAGGATATTGCTGTACTATTGAGAAGACAACGACTTCGATTTGAGCTCATGAAGAGAATGAACGAAAAGAGAATCAAAATTGCAGGAGAGACACTATTCCATTACTTGGCAGTTGCTCAAATGTTGAAAATTATTTATTGTAAATATGAAGATAAGGCTGATATGAAAGATTGCTTGCCAATTATTGTAGAACATTTGAAACCATTCTTTGCTGGAATAGGTGACAAGTTTTGCGCACGTTTCATATCAGGAAAACTAGGAAAGAAAACTATTGCGGGAAAGACATTTGAAGTTTTCATGGATAACATGAAAGAATTGAGGGAATTCTACGAAACCCATAAGGTGGTAAAGGATTTACTTGAAAAGATTTGTCAATTATTTGATTTGGATAAGGTGGATATTTCTCTCAATTTCACAGATATTTTAGATCAAGAATTATCTGATGAGAATATTACACAATTCATAGAAATGATGTCATTTGAGGAGAATACTAGTTTGGAATCAGACGGTATCCAAGTCACAACCATCCACAAGGCCAAAGGCAGAGAATGGGAATATGTATTTATTCCAGAAATACAAGAAGGTGTTATTCCACTAAAAATTAAAGCAACAAAGAATAAGGAAAAACCATCAGAAATTGTAGATATGAGCGAGGAGGAAAGAATATTCTATGTTGCCTTAACAAGAGCCAAGAAGAGCATTTACTTGTCGTGCAATACAGGAGCATTCTCTCACTTTCTCAATAGACTTAAATAAGGCTTTGTGTTTGAACTGTGTTTACAAATATCTTTTAAATCTGCTCTTCATCGCACAACATCTTAGAGTGGTTTGGGATGGTAGTCCATAAATTATACTCTTAAATTCTTGAATGTTTCCTTTGAAAAGCAGTTTCAAATGAGAGAGAATATATTTGGCTCCAGTTTTCGTAAACTTACTGGAACAAACAGTGAGACTATTCAAATACTTCATAGTGGGATTCAAAACTATCCATCCAAGTGTGAAATCTGTCAATTTGTTATTCCTTCCAATATTTAGACGAGTTAATTGTATGAAATTACATGAGCAAATGTGTGAAATTCCAATATCTGTTATGCTGTAATTACAAACTCCCAAATATTTGAGGTTGAGAGTCTTATTTTCCAAAGATGCAAGACTCTTATCGCTAATATTGTTACCATTCAAATTTAAATGCTCCAGTTTAGCAAAGAAAGGGCATTGTACCAGAAATATCAATCCATTATCAATATTATTTTTAGCTAAATTGAGAGAAGTGAGATTATTCAAATTTTCACAATTCTCAAATGCAACCATATCCCTATCATATAATCTGCAACTAGAGAGACACAACTCTCTCAAAGAATACATACTCGGATTTCTTGTAATACAGCGAATATCAAAATGAGTTAAATTTAAATACAAAGTGTTCAAATTTTCCATATATTCACTCTGGAGCATTTCTATTGCATTTTCACCAGAACTGAAATGAATTTTCCTCAAGCTTTTCATTTTCTTGTTTGGAATTAATTTTTGGTTGAATGTGGATTTCAGATTTGTGAGATTAGTCAAGTATGGACTTTCGAATAGAGGATTTAAATCTTTCACTTGTCCTAAATCTAGATCTGTCAAACAAGAAAGGCCTTCACAGTTGGCTATAGATTCACTAATATCTTCTGAATTGACGTTAAGTGAGAGAGTCCTCAATTTTTTCAATTTAAACAATTTACAATCAAATAAAACCTTTGAATCTATTGCAATATCAAAAATAAAACCTATGTTTAAAAGGGTTAGATTCATTAAACAAGAGCTATGGAAAATATGTTTCATCCCAGGATAACCAATTCCTGATCCACTTATGTTCAAACTCTCTAAATTGGAAAGATGTGGACAATTTGCTATCAATGCAGCATCGTTAAAATCTAAAGCACAACTTTTCAAATTTAGAATTTTCAGATTTCTAATTGTGGGATTAAGAATGGATTCAAGACGTTCTGGTGAAGCCAAGCATCCTTGGAGGTTAAGTTCAGTTAAATTTTTGCAATTAATAGAATAATAGTAGATTTCTATTGGTGATTCATAAATAAATCTATTTCTGAAATTGACTTTTCTTAAATTGGGTAACGCTCCAATCACAGCAAGTATGTAGTAATCAGTTTCATCATAGCAATTGGATTGAAAAGCTCTAATATCCAATTCTAATAGATGTTTTAAATTTTGAGAACATGATCGAATAGATTCTGAGTTTACATGGGTTCCTCGCAGATTTAAAACTTTCAAATTTCTAACTATTTCACTCTCCAATAGGACATCAATACTTCTCTCGTCAATGCATAATTATTCCTCAAATTTAAATGTTCCAAATTAGTCAAAGTCTTACATTGGGAAAGTATTATCAATTGCTCATCTCTTAATGCATTGAATGCCAGACTTAGTTGAGTAATATTTCTAGGAACATTCGAAGCATTGAAGAAACTTTCAAAATACCTTGGATGTATCTTTTTAATGGAAAAATCAAGTTTCATCCGAAATAAACAACTGGCATAAAACCAAGTCTTGGAAATTAAACAATAACTTGACAATATTTCCAAATGATCATTACAATATTCCATAATTTCTATCATCATATCTTGTACTAATGCATCACCAAAGTAATTGTTCCAAATAAAATTGTCTTTTATCGGAGTATCGTTAGAAGAAGGTTGAATCTTGTGTTGCCTTGGTGAAATCATTTTTTTTGAAGCATTTCAGAAAATCTTCTGACTCCGAATGCATATGGATATCAACATCTAGAGACGTTCATTGTGATATCCATCATGAACCTGTAGTCTTTCCTTTCTTGCCTTATTAAACAGCACTACAGAAACAATTAACAATATCAAAGCGCCAAATAGTGAAATACCTGTCAAAACAATGTAAATTTGCTGAGCTTCCGAATAGATCCAATACGAAACAAACAAATGATCAACATGATTAGAATAACAAGTAGTATTAGTACCAACTTGGTATCCATAATATTCAGATAGTTCTGTAAATGGAAAGGTCGTTCTGGTCAACTCTTTAGGACACGATTTAAATTGATTCGAATCCAAACAAACCAATGCACTACAATGCTTTCTCATCTTTTTCGAATAGCTAGTTTCACATAATGTTTTCGGCTCAATCACTGTACAATTCATAGAAATATCATAAATATTCTCATCTTGTGTTCTAATTATCAAATTATTTCATTTCCCATTCATTTACAATCATCATCACGTGATGATTTTTTAATTATTATTACATTAATTGCGATGATGAACCTTACTTCACTATTAAATTATCTACTCACACTCCATACAAAACTCCAAATAAAACACTCAACCCCAAACTCACTACAAAACACAACAAGGCAAAACCAGCAAGAAATATCAACAAGTGTAAGGGTTTCATTTTTTTTAAAAAGATTTCAAAGTTCATCCAAATAATTTTTACTATATTTAAATGATGAGAATTGAATTAACTTCTTCAATCTCGATCATTTATGTAAGGTTACAAGAGAGGAAATCTTTACATTCTTTAAACCTCCATTTCCACATTTGCTTTAAGAATCTTTAAAAAAAATTTACAATAAAAAATAATTAAAAAAAATGGGCGGCAATCAATCGACTAGCGAATCAAAGGAACCAATTGCTGAATTGAGTGCCGACTATCAAGAGTTGGATCTATCGACATTCAAGTTGAATATTGTCAAGACAAATACAAGCTCCGAGCTTACGATAGGAAATCGTCGAATGATTATACTTGATGGATTGGATAAAAAGTTTGAATTTACTGAAGAGTCGGGGAATGTACATCGTATACATCATGTAATGTTTGGTAGTGATGATGAGAAGAAGGAGGCCATTTTGGTCTTGTTGAATATGATGAATTCGTTAAAGTTTTTCCAAATGCAAAACAAGGCTGGGAAATCGTTTAATACTAGGTAGGTTTTGATGGATGAATTGTTGTTGAATTTATCATATTGATCAATTACTTTTATAATTCTTTATATTACAATATTTATCGTGATGAAATATTTGCCGGATTTTTGATTGATGTGTAAAGTGGTTCTGATGCTGGAACAACAATCACACTTCAAAACGGAAAGAAACGAGTGGAGGTCAAAATGACAGAAAGAACCGCCTTGAAAAACAAAGCTCATGAACCAAACTTTAAACAAATTGAAGAACAAGCCGAAAGATGGATCAGCAGTCAAATTAGCAAAAAGTCACAATTTCGCTCTGTAACTGTGACATTTTCTGCTGCCTTGATCAAGTACTTTTTGGATGAATTGGATAGTGGCTTGCAACTCATGTATACATTGCCAAACACTCGTGTAAATTTAAAGACTTGTATTTTAACATCATCGACCAATATTGCGGAAACAAAAGTGGAAAATTTAACACTTCCAAACTGTGAAGTAATTTTAAGTGTTGGAAAATATTCAATGGTCTCATTTGGAGATGATTCTGGTAAATTGACTGCTCCACAAGCTGTCAACTTGACTGGTGTTTCTAGTTTTTCTTTGGATATTTCTAGTGACAAGAAGAGTCTTGTAGTTAACCTTTAATATGTACATTAAATTAGATTTTACTGAAAACAGCACGGTATTTTACGTTTACGTGGATTGGAACCACCCATGTGGGAATCTAGACATTTAATCACATCCTTGTAAAGAGATTCGCTTGTAAAGTTGGTTGCTTCGTTTCGTTTCTTCTTGGCATAGTCGAGTGCCGTCTCACCAACATGATCTTTACATAATTTATCAGCTCCTGATTTTAGTAACAATGAAACAATATCTGGATGTCCTCTAAAAGCAGCTTCATGGAGTGGTGTTTGTTTGTACTGTCATTAATTATGGAAAGATAAAATGGATAATGAAATAAGGCTAAATTGGAATATTTGAAATAACTTACATCATTGAGGGCATCCACAGAGGCTTCTTTTGATAATAGATATTCAACCAATTTCAAACTACCATTCCAACAAGCATAGTGAAGAGCTGTCTGACCATAACCCACCAAATCTTTAGTATTTACATTCAAATTCTTATCTTCGATATATGACTTGACACTATCGAGATCAGATTCTTGACATGCCACAAAGAATTCATGGGCAATCTCTGCACTGACATCAATTCTCTTCAGTTTTTCAACCCAGCTTTGAGCCATGAATGATGTATTTGTTTGAGTTGGTGGAACATTTGCGTTTGGAAGGTATGGCTGTTTGTTGAAGGAGGTGTTTTGATTTTGGGAGGAAGACAAGATGATATCATTAAGGAAGCTATCTTCTTCATCTTCTGCTGGTGGTAATTGCTCTTTTGGAATTGGTTCAGCAATAGTTGAAGTGTTCAATTTGAATGAGGACAATTTTTCAAAAATTACTGACATGGCAGCTGACGCATTTCCTCTATCATCTGATAACATCTTTTTCTTATCACTTGTAAGTTCAAATTGATCCACATAATCAGAATCTCCTCTCAATCGATTAGTGGCTGGTGAAAGTAGCTTTTCAACACCAGTTACTAGATTAGAGAATCGTTCTTGAATCTTCTTTGAGCTCTTCACATCCACCAATTCTACCTCCTGCAAGGAATCCTCTCTCTCAAAGACATACTCTTCCACTATATCTGTTTTAGATTTTGATGGTTTTGGAGTTTCTGATGGAATTGTCTTGGAAATTGTGACACTGAAATTGTTGCTGGATGGTTGAATTTCTTCCTTACTTGTAGGTTTTACATCTTCATAATCCTGAATAACCTCTTCAGGAACAATAATTTCAGGAATATGAGAGAAAGGATCATCATATTCATCCTCTTCATCTACTATTCGCATCATTTTGTTCCTCTTATTCTTTTTAATTGAAACCTTTTCATTCACATCAATTCTTTCTCCTTGTTGTTGAAATAAAACCTTCTCATCATCATTCATCGAATCATTCATAGATTCGGATTCAATTACTCCCATTGCCGATTCATTTTCCTCCTTAGTAATTGGTGAAATTGGTCTTTCATTGTAGAATATTGTTCGATCCACCTCAATTTTCTCATCCACTTCCGATGATGAAGTTGCATTCGATTCAAGTAATTCAAGTGAATTGCTATTCTTTCTATCATTCCTATCATTCACATCTTCATCAGCATTTTCCTTATCCCATATCGAATCATTATTTGAGGAGGAAATAATAGGAGTCAGTGGTTGATCAAAGTCTGCAAAACGAATCGGACGTTGAGCATTACCACTACTTTCTGGTGTTTGAGGGAGAAAAACTAATTGAGGCGATGAATAATCATCTTGATAAATAATCTTATTCGGAGGAGGTGATTGAAACGGTAATTTTCTCCCATTATTGTTATGTTGCTTATCCATCTTCTATTACTATTATTATTCTAGTAATACTACTATTACGACTAATTAAAATTCTTCTTATTAAAATATCAAAAAACCTTCTTCTTGTTGTATTTCCTTTATTCTTCACAAAGGACAATGTAACGTTCTTTTTTTCAACTTGGGAGCGATTTAATTTTGTTACCTTATTCCAACGGTTGGTTTCTTCCTTATTTGAAAAATTGGCGCGCCTTTTGTGTAGAATGGCTTGGTGTAGTAGCAATACCAATTTCAAATTGGTATTTTTATAGGAATGAGTACTTTGAGGGATTTCCTTTGCGAGGTGTTCTTCCTTCTTAACTGGAATCTCATTCTTTGGTAAATAACTTAATGGAATGAAATGGAAATCAGTGATTTTCAAAAGATATAATTTTCCAATTTTTCAAACAAACCAATAACTGATTGAAAAACTAATCGATAGAGATTGAACATAGTGCCAATATAGTTTGGGAATGAATAACATGTCGCCCTCGCACAAGGTGCAATCCCAATAATGTGTTGCTTTTGAAATCAATGGGAATTTCTCATTCAAGATCTTTCTTTCCTCTTCCTCAAATTGTAACAAGTGTAAATTATCAATTTCACTTGTGTTGGCTTGAAGTATTCCGGATTGTCTCTTATAGAGATGAGGTGTTTCGTCTGGGTGGTAAATTCTCACAAATTTGTGGCCAACCAGTTGAACTAGAATATTATCGCATGGATCTGTATGAAGTGGTGAGATGGTTCCTTTCGGTCCATACCAAGCATTGACTCCAGACATTTCACCCAACTCTCCCAACATGCAATATATTGGTTCCTGAATATCTTTACGAAGTGAATGAATTTGTTCAAAGAGAGGATGCTGAGCAAGGTAGCCAATTTGAGTATTTCCCTCCATGACGTACTCTTTCACATATTGGTGGAATGGCATGATTTTTTGAGACCAATCCTCAGAGGTATAGTATTGTCCAATTTCTACTGGAACGGCTCGGTAAGCTGCCTTTTCCAATAGATAATTAACATCACTCCATTTTCTGTAAGCTTCCCAATTTTTGGAGGCATTCTTGAGGAGGCATGGAGTATGTGTATTGAAATATTTCTTTTTGAAATCCATCAGAGAGATTGCATTGGCATCTTCAATTGGAATGGCATGTGAAGGATTTGAAACAAGAGAATTTCTCAAATCATTGCTGCAATGTTCTTGTGAAAGTTTTGGTTTTTTCAAATCATTTTCTGCATCCCTATCTGAAAGTGATGGAATTCCAAATTTCCTAACAATGATTGAATGAACACTATCTGCAACCTGATGTAAATATTCTCGGTAGGTATTATCTCCCATCATTAGTCCTTCATCACACTTCCGCAGAACTAACATCCACTCAGAAATTGTCCAGCAATTAGTTGTGTGATAATTTTAATTTAATACATGAGTAGAGCAAGCACATGAGTCCGTGTAGGCTTCTCCATTCCTGACAAACATCTGACCAATGTCCTGTATGTAGTTGTGTCCACGATATTTCCAACATTTCATCAATTTCCTTTTCCAATAATTGATAATTCAAGGCATTGATATTTTCCTTCTCTTTCACAGAATGATAATCCGTCAAATGATGATACAAAATTTCCATTAGAGCATGAATACTTCTACAGTGGGGAATAATCTTTTGTTTAATTTCCGATATATTAAATAGCGAATATTCCTCATCATCATATTCATCTTTCTTTACAAACTTTTCCAAGATTTGATCCACAACTAGAAAGACTCTCCCTTCTTCTTCATATTGCATTTTTTTTAATAGTCCAGATTCAGAGAACCAGTACATTGATTAATTGCTACTATTAAAGTTTTATTCTCGATCCGTATTTAAGGTTTTCTTGGATTCTTGTTGAGTTGTTTTTTAACTTTCTTTGGAGTCTTGTGTTGACGTTTTTCTCTATTTTGTTCCTTGACTAGTTTTTTACGTTCCTTCTTATCGAGTTGGCTGAGAGGATCTTGTTGTTCAGAACTTGGAGTTGTGCCTTCTTCAGAGTCTTCTCTTACAGGAATACTGGCAGTCAATTCTTGTAATTCTTCCTCAGTCAATCCATATGGAATGTTGGTTGAACCAGTTAAGTTTTCATTGATGCCTGTTACACTCTTGTAGAAAAATACGTCATCAGTATCAATAGTTTCTTGGTGATCGAGTGGATCAGTAATCTCAATAAGTGATCTAGGAATGTGAACCTTTTTGAAAACTTCAGCTTGAACTTTTTCTTCCTCATTGAGGGCAATTGGTCTAGATTGAATCTTTTCAAACATTTTGCTTAAATAAATGTCTACAATGTCCTCGGTAATATTTACATCAGTTATAAAATCAAAAAGTTCCTTAGTAGTCAAAATTTCTTTAAAGGTCAAGCCATTTCTAATAAAATAATTCTTGATATTTTCACAATCCTTTCTCAAAAATTCCAAACCATGTGGATGGTCGAGTTCGACACTCTGAGAAACATCAATATAGTACACATAGCCATTATAGTAGAGCATATTATATTCACTAAGGTCAGCATGAATGAGTTTGGCCTTGTGATACATGGTCCACATTGTCTTGATAATATCCAGATAGACATCCTTCAATTTGGAGGGTGCAATCTTGGCATCCTTGAGTCTTGGAGCACACCATCCGTTCTTACCAATAAATTCCATGATGAGAATGTGTTTTTTGAGGGCGATAACCTTTGGTACTCTAATACCAACATTTTCCAAACGTTTGAGATTTCTCAACTCTTTTTCAGCCCAGACTGAAACCATCTTTCTAGGATTGGTCTTACAATAACCATGCTTGAATCTACGATCTCCCGACACATATCTGTCTCTATCTCTGAAGAGCAAGGCACTGGTTTTGTAAATCTTGATAGCAAGATCCGTATTGAGAGGTTTTGTGGCTGGTATATTTTCACCATTTTCACTTGACTGTTCTACTGGCAGTGATTCACCTGTTGATGACAATAATTGAGGATTAACATCCTCAGTGGAGGAAGCTGCTACTGTAGTTGTTGTGGATTTTGTAACAGAGTGAATAACATTGCCTTCGAATGCTTCGCCTGCAGTAGCATGATACACATTGGCCTCCTTACCAGTACTCACACAACCATTGATACTATCCAAAGTGCCATTATTTCTAAACTTGTAGAGCATCATTATGGTATGCTTGTCTAATACATTTTCTGCTGTAGCTCTATCAGCCATCTTATCTCCTTCCTTAATTTTCTTTTCAATTCCTTTTCTTTCACTTGTTTGAATAGCAGTTCTAACATGAGAAGGTAAATTAACTCGGGTGACATATTCTTGCTTTGGAAGTCTGACAGAATTTTCTTTTGGCTTTTCTTCTTCCATAGAAGATGAAGCAGCAGAACCAGATGATAATTCTCTGTGTGAAAAGCTTGTAAAGAATTTAGTCATTTCCTCATCTTCCAAGTAATCATCACCTTCTTCCTCACTGTTGTAATCATCATCTTCATCAATCATGTATGAAACATCCTCTTCCAATTCAAAATCGTCAAACAAGTTATTACTAGTATTGCGTCTTGACTTTCTTCCTTCATCATGCACCAAAACAACCTTCAATTGATTGATCCTATTACATCTCTGTTGAAGATCATATCCAGATCCACCTCCGATTTGAATACTACCATATGTATCGGTGACAACTCTCATTGGATGATATTGTGTCATTTCCCTCTCAGCACAGACATTGGCATACATACGATCTTCTTCCTCTTGAAGTGCAAGAGCAAGTCGCATATCATCTTCTTCCTGTTGTGAAATTGCAGCAGCAAGAATATTAGAATTATTAATTTCCAAGGATGATGACATTGGTGAAGTATCCATCATATTGTCTCTTTCATTATTATCATAATATTCATCAGCATCGTCAACATAATCAGGAGGAGCTGATGATTCTTCAATAAAACCTTCGGAAATTAAAACATCAGTCTCATATTGCATATTACTTTGAAATTGTGCCAAAGAGAGAGTAATCTTGTTATTCTTCTTGCCATTAGCATTACCACTAGTAGTCTTCTTCTTACCCATTTTCAATAATTAAATTATTGCTATATTACTAAATACTACAAAAACAATCTATGGATATGTTCCTCTTTTCAACTACCACTCAACTTCAATAGAACAACAATGGTTCTTTGATTCTTTTTTTGTTATTACATACAATAAGAGTTCTCCTTGGAATTGAAGTAGGTTTTTTCACTTCCCGATACTGTGTATCTTGCTTTTGGTCAAGATTGAACTTGATTTTTATTTTTATTTTTAAAATTAAATTGTAGGATAAGCTGTAGAAAGTTAGTGAAGGAAATTTGAGATGGAGGAATGCTGTTTGGAAGGCTTGTTGAATATCTTGGCCAACTTTTGAATTAAAAGTACAAGATGAATGTTATTGTTAGATTACATTATAGAGATGTATTTATTCATGTCTTGATGAAGAATGATAAAGTAGACGATGAATAATTAATGTTAGGAAACATGTAGAAATTCAACTTTTCAAACTCTGGACAAAAGTTGAAAAACATGCAAGAACATCCTGTCTGATGTGGTACAATAGTAAATCTTTGCCTTCCTCTTGAAATTGAACAAGTTTTCAAGTGTTTTTCGCTGTTGAAAATTAACCTTTCTTCTCCAATCCTTGATGGAAAGTTTTGACTTTATGGAGTGATAATAGTGAACATTTAGAGCATGTTGATGATGTTTTTGTTGATGAAAATATTAAAATTAATAAATTGATTACCTTTTAAAATTTGTATTTCATTGTAAAATCCAATAAAAAAATCCATATACACTCTATATGATCCAATCATGTTGTGTTGAAAATAGTTTTTCCATTCATGAAGAATTGACTTTGAAAATCATCAATGATGTAAATTGTTAAGTGACGAAATTTTTTCTCAATATTTTTCCATTAAAAAAATAGACTAGGAATCATCATCCTATCATTATCTTCATAGTAATTTTTGTTGGAGGACTATCATGAAATTGGAAATTATTTTTCATCAATAATTTTCCATATCAATTATTAATAACACATGTAAATTTAAACTACAAGTTTATTAAATAGACAACAATTCCTTCTCATTAAGATTCTTTTGAACATGATTCTTATTTCTACTTCTCTCCTTCAACAAGTAAATTACAGCAATAACAACAGCAACCAAAGCAAATACTGGAATGGCCAATAAAATCAATGCAACCAAATTCATATCAGGTTTTGGAGCAATGATAATATTTGATTTGGATGATTCTTTAGGGATTGGAGTTACTATTGTTGAAGTTTCTGTTTGAGAAACAAGTTTAACAATGAATGAGCCTGTTGTTCTTGTTTGGATTGTGATTGACTTATCAGATTCTGATAGAATTGTGCATTGAGTTGATTGAATATAAGTTCCATTTTGTAATTCGAAACATTTAGCTACTAAACCATGTAAATTTCTGGCAGATGGCAATTTTCCAATAGAAATGGATGCAATGGTGTAATTATTGTTGAAACTCATTTGTTGATCATTGTTGAAAATGGAGAATTCAACACTCTTACTGACAGCTGATTTCATTGTTGTGGATTGAGTCTTGTAATACAACTTGACACTTTCAACTTGATCAAATTCTGGCATGGAAGTGAAATCTTTGGTGAGGTTAAAGCTAGTTGTGGAATCAACATTTTCATTCAATCCTTCCAAAGTTGTAATACTGACAAGTCTTGCGTAAACATTCATATTACTTGTGGTGGTCTTAACAGCTGGCATATCAGCAACCAAATTCTTAATTTGAACATTGACAAGATCACTGAAAATTTGTTCAATTCTTGACATGTCATCCAATGTGAATGTTCTTCTCATTGTTCCAGAAATGTGGCTTGAGAAGGCATTAGCAGAATTTTGAGAATTTGCAATATCTTGATCATTCATCTTGATTGAGCTAGAAGTTGATGCAGTGGATGTGGTTTCTGAGAATTTAGAGACAGAGAATGAAACTGTTGAATCTGCCAAATTATTGACACAACCACCAATGGATGAAAGGACAGAAACCTTTGAGGCAACTGAATCAGATGTTTCAGCAACAACTGAACCTTGTTCATCAGCTTGTTTAAAATACTTATCAACAAAGGCAGTACCAGCAGCTTTCAATGCTTCCTTTTCTTCTGGAGTTGCTGCAGAGACGGATCCTACAACTGACAGAGCAGATGAAATTGAAGAGACAGTTACTGAACCTTGTTGAGATACAGTAAGTGCAGCAAGGGCTTCTTGTGGTGATGGTACGGTGGTAACAATTTGAGTTGTTGTTTCAGAAGATGCACCATTAGCATCATAAACGACAACTTTAATATCCAAAGTTCCTGCTGGAAGTGATGTAGCAATTGACTTCTTTTCAGATTTGGAAGATAAAATGCTCCATGTGCTGTCAGTGGTCAACTTGTACAAGAATTCATATGAGAGTGGAACTTGTGGATCGTACCAACCGTTACCACACTTAATTTGGAACTCATCTTTCAAAGCAACACCTGTGGTTGGATTGACTTCAAGAATACCAACAGTTGGTGGTGCATTGACTGTGAAAGTAATATCAGCACTTCCAGATCTATCACCATCAACAATATTCAATGAAACCTTGTTAACTGCTCCAGGAACCAAAAGTGTCTTTGGAATTTGAATATATTTGAGATTTGTTGTTACAGAGCTGAGATCCAAATCTGAGGAAGACCAAGCGTAGATTCTGGCAGATGAGAGGGAATCTTGATTGGATGCTTGTAATATAAAGTCAGAGGATGGGTCAACAACTGAGGTGTCGCAACCAGTTGGTGGTACAATAGAAGCTCTAATAATCTTTGATTTTGGTTGTTCAGTGACAGTAATCTTGACAGTTGCAGAGGAAGTTCTTGTCAATCCCTTAGAGAATATGGTAGTGAATGAATAGACACCAGCTTCCATTGATCTACTGAATTTGAATTGATCAGCATCATCAATAATGGGATCAAAGCAAGGAACAGCTGTAAGCAAATTGACACATGACAAGGAAATTGATCCTGAGGTTTCTGATGGATTACTTGGATCTTGCTTTTCAACATTGAATGTCACAGGAGTTTCAAAGGATTGAGACATATCTCTAACACTGAATGAAACAATTAATGGCAATGCCTTGGCAGTTACCTTAAACGGAACATTGACAGTGGCAGCTCCGCTTTGAGAAACTGTCAAAACAAAGTAATAATCACCTTCAACTGAAATCTTTGTAAAATCATTGCTGAAAACCAACAATTCCTTATTCTTTTTAACAGTCACGGTTGTGTCCACAGATTTGGCTCTGTCTAAAGAATATTCATAGGACAATGGGCCAGACCCTCCATAACAAGATGGGAAGGAAACTGTTGGTGAAATAATTGAAGTCTTTCCAATAATCATTGTACTTTCCAAACCTTCCTTAATAGAAACTGTTGGAGATGTCAAATCAGAAATTTGGAATGAAACAGAAGCTGTTGAATGTTGTTGAGAGAAAGAGCTAGTGACAGTGACTTGAACAGTATAAGAACCAATTCCCAAAGTTTGTCCACTAACCTTAATACCAGATCCTGATTGACCAGCAAGTAAAACTTCAAGAGCATCGGCATCGTCAGTTGTTGGAGCGAGAATGGTTGACCAAGTGAAAATTAAACTTCTTCTATCCAAAGAAACTGATCCAGAAGCATCCAAGTAAATAGAACCACATGCCTTGGAAACACTGGCCTTGTCAGCTGTCAAAGAAGCAGTTGGAGAAAGAGGAAGATAATCCTTATTCTTAATACTAACTTGAGTAGTTTCTTGACTTCCAAAGTAATTCTTGAATTGTAAAGTTCCACCAATTGAAATACTTGCAGATGGACCTAAAGTAATTTCCATAGAACTCTTTTCAGAATTCAAAAGACATTTGGCACCAACTCCAAGAATTTCATGATTGACAATAAGATCAGAACACATGAATTTCTTCTTTAAGGAAGAATAAACAACTCCGTAAATGGAATCACCCAAAGTTGAAAATCCGAAAGAAGTCGAATCTACACTAAAGTCACACTTCTCACCAAACCAACCACTTTCACAGCTTTCACATTGAGCACCAGAAGTATGAGCTTGACAAGCACAACTTCCATCCATATTACAACTTCCTCTATTATTACAATTCTTTGAAGGGGAACATTCGAATTGACAATCTGTACCAACAAATCCAGATTTACACTTGTTACAGAATTCTCCTGCCCAATTACCAGTACAACCACATTTAAATGAGTTATCACATTTACCATGTCCACTACAAGTCAACTCGTCTGAACAGATTTTTTCAGAACAATCTGAACCAGTAAAGGAAGGAGTGCATTCTGAACAGAATTTAGAAGCATCAAATGTGGAACTGGAACAGACACAGGCATTGTGTGAGATACATTTACCTCTACCACCACAGACAAGTGCTGAGGTTCTGTCAATATCATTACATTTAAAGTTTTGACATGATGTACCATCAAAACCAGTATTACATTTACAGACAGGAGAGTTGTTTTCGAGTACACATTTACCTTTTCCACTGCAGACAGATCCGTCAGTTGCCTTAACACCATTACAAATTGGAATGTCACAGTTTGGACCTGTCATTCCTGTTTTACAAGAGCCACAAGAAGAGCCAGCAAAGTTTCCAGAGCAAGTACATGTATGAGAATCAGAACAAGAACCACGGAATGAACAACCACCTTCAGATTCCAACTTGCCGTTACAAGTTGACAATTGGCATTCTGGACCAGTAAATCCATTATTACATTTGCAAGTATTGACACCAACACATTGACCTCTTCCTGAACAAACTAGAGAATGAGAACTATCCTTATCATAACAAATTGGTAATTCACATTTTGATCCTGTATAACCCTTTGAACAATCACAATTATCTTGTGATGAACATTTACCCTTTCCTGAACAAACTGATGAGGCAGTATAAGAAACACCATGACATGTGGTGTCTGATGGAAGGAAGGAGCCAAAGAAACAATTTGTAGTTGTGAAGCTATCACAAAGACCAGTAAATGAATCTGGAATACTGGTCAACTCAGTCTTGACAACTTGTTCACAAACGCTCTTACAAACTTGAGTAGAGGTGGCGATTGAGTCACGTTTGGAGCATGATTGGAATTTCATGTAACAAACAAATTTGGTCAATGTAGCAATACATTTTTCATCACAAGTTTTTCCTTCCTGTGAATACAAGTTAATGTAATTGTCAAATTGTTCCTTTGCCAAAGCATCAATTCTAGAAGCAGCTCTAGCAATCAATAATCTAGCATGAGATGCATTTAGAGCTCCACTGTTATAAACAGAATTCAAAACAGTGTAATCAATACTAGATTTACAGAATGACAATGCAGTTGATGGAAGAGTGATACAATCAACAGAAGGTGTGTAAATGTCACAATTTTCACCAGAGTATTCACTTGGACAAACTTTCTTACAAACACTATTTGAGGAAATGAAATCAGCAGCACATGATGAACATGGGACTTCGCCAAGTTTGGAAATGTATCCCTTATTACATTTACAAACAGCTTCGGTTGAAACGGCAATGTTAACAAATTGACAAACACCATTACCACATGGTGAAGAACAAGTTGGTACGGCTTCAATACATCTACCTTGTTTGTTTTCAAAGCCAACTGCACAGCTACATAATTTACCATTTTGAGTAAAACCACTTTCAGAATTACAGACACATTGACCAGTTGTTGCATTAGTCTTGAAACCCTTCAATCCATCACAAGTACATCCACTTGATCCATCATAAGCATAACCACTTGAAACATCACAGACACACTTGGAACCAGATTGAATAGTCTTGGCAGGACATGAACTACATGGTTTGTTTTGATCAATTGTGACAAATCCATTCTTACATTTACAAACAGAGACAGTTGAACTAGCTGTTTCAAATTCACAATTTCCATTCAAACCACATTCAACATTACATTTTGGTGTGGTATTTCTAACACATTTACCTTGTTCATTCATTGTAAAATCGAGTTCAGAATTACAAACACAAACTCCATCTGAGAGAATCAATCCAAGAGTGGAATCACAATCAGAACATGGATTTGTCGAATCAGAAGAAACCCATTGGGCTTCACAAATACACTGAGTGAAAGTTGTCTTGTCGTCACGATATGCACAAACTCCGTGAGATCCACAATTGAATTCACAAACTGCTGGTTTTCTAATACATTGATTACCAGAAGATTGATAATTAGCAGCAACATTACAGGTACATTCACCATTAGAGAGAACATGACCTGAAGAAGTATTACAAATACATAATGAGTTGACTAAATCAAATCCAGTCTTACAAACTGAACATCTGTCACCTTCAAAGTTGTCCTTACAGGTACATGATGCAATACCAGTTGAGTTTTCACAAATTCCATGAACACCACATTGGAGAGTACATGGATTTGGTGATTTTTCTTGACAAAGATCTCCGAAATAGCCTTCTAAACATTGACATTTGGCAATTCCAGTAACATTGACACAAGATCCACTATTCTTACAATTTAGAGTACATAGATTTGGTTTTTGAACAATATTTTGACATAATTCACCATTGAAACCAGATGGACAAACACACTTATCATTTTCACAAACACCACCATTCAAACAATCAAGTTTACAACCTTGATTAACTGGAACACTACACAAAGGACCAGTATATCCTGAATTACAAATACACTTCTCTTCACCGGTCTTTGTATTGTTATAGCAAGTACCATTCACACAACCCAATGAGCAAATAATCTCATTAACACATTGATTTCTGTACAAATCACAGAACTTTGCAGAGCCAGTTGTACAATGAGCATCACTTTCACAATCTAGTTTACAAATAGCATTTCTACAAGTAGTATAAGGAGTATGTGAAGAACATTCATCATTGGTTGTACAAGAGATGTCAATACATCTTTCCTTATCTAATTGACAAACCTTATTAGCTGCTTGACATGGACGAGTTGAATTACATTCACTTTGACAAGTATTTACAAAGTCACTTGTGTAATCAGAGACACAGATACCCTTACTACATTGATAATCACCACTACATTCAGTTTGGACACAAACTTTGGACCAACATTGTTTGAATCCCTTCAAGTAACAATCAGAGTTGACTAAACATGGTTGATTGGTACATCTACCACCTCCATTGCTAACATCACAATATGGCTTATTAGAAGGACACTCAGAATCATACATGCATTCACGAGTACAGAGTCCCGATTTACATGTTGGTAAAACTGCATAACTGCAACCAGCATTTGATGTACATTTGATTGGGAATTGCACACAAGTCTTTTTAGTTCCACTGTAAATGTTAAAATCACAAACATCAGTCAAAACACCATTTTTAACAACACCAATACAATCACGATCAGTATCACATTCAGGAACACATTTAGAATTCTTACAAGCAGTGTATCCATTTTCAGTACATTCACTTCTTAATTTACAAGATTTTGGTTCACAAGCATTGGATGTAACATTACACACTGGTTTACCAGCAACTGAGCTACAATCAGAATCTTTCAAACATTGTGGAACACATCTTTGATAAGTAGCTTGGCCGCTCACTAAATTACATTTAGTTTTACCAAATTTAGAAGCACATTGAGAATCACCTAAACATTCAAAGGTACAAACTCCTTGAGAACCACAGAATGAATAACCATTTTCAGAACAATCACCATCAATAGAACATGGTTTAGGAACACATTTTCCAATATCAACATCACATTTCTTTTTAGAAACAACTCCAACACAATCAGCATCTTTCACACACTCAGGAACACACAATCCCAAAGTAGCATCTTGCTTAGTTGAACAGATAGGTCTATTAGTATATTTGGCAGCACAATAAGAATTATATGAACACTCAACGTCACAATATTTTCTGCCTCCCATATTAGATCCACAAAAAGGGTATCCTTTAATTGTACAATTGGCACTATCAGTACAAAAACGGACAGTACATGTGGCAATTGATGCATCACATGAAGAGGTAATTCCCTCACAATCGGCATCTTTCTTACAACCTTCAACACATCTATTAAGGGTCATGTCATCCTTCTTGGAACAAGTGTTCAATAATGGATTTGCACTCGATAATTGACAGTCATTGTTGGAGCTACATTCATCTTTACAATACTTGTAATATGGATCACACTTGCTATATCCCTTATATGGACAATCAGTGTCATTGGAACAAATCTTCTTCTCGCAAACTCCAGTAGGACCACAAACTTTTCTAAAATCTTTAGTACAATCACTGTCAGAGGTACATTCTGGTCTACAATAACAATCTCCATTCGTACAGAGACATTCAGTATTTGTGGCATAACGACCGCACGGAGAAATTGCGGGATAACAAGGGACTTTAGAACATTTACCTCCGGAACCATTAGTTATACAAGATGGTCTTCCATAATAACCATTACAATCTGCATCATTGCTACATTCAGCATTACATTTTCTATATTTGGAAGTTTCATTCTTATTGGAACCACAAACTGGGAAGTATTGATTCTTACAATCAGAGTTGGAAACACATTCATAACCACAAGTTCCATTTGAAGAACAAATTTGGAAACCCTTAGAAACACAATCACTAGTTGTGGTACAATTGACTGCTTGACACAAACCACTTGTCAAATCACAAACTGGTTTGAGTTCATCCAAGCAATCAGAACCACTCTTACATCTCAAAATACAATTCATTCCATCCCATGCATAATCAGGAGCACAAACTGAACAAGTCAATCTGTCACTAGCACAAACTTCACAATTGTTTTTACCACTTTCACATGATTCAACACATTTGTGATATTCCTTAGTATTTGAAGAGGACATTCCACAACGACTGTAACCAAAGAGCTTACAATCATCATGAACCATACAATCAACATCACAAGTTCCATTTGAATTACAATTTGGATAACCATATGGAGCACAATCAGAAGCAGTATAACAGCTGACACCAACACATCTGAAAACACTAGTGTCACATCTTGGTTTACCACGAGATAAAATACATCCATCATTATCTAAACATTCCTTATTGTAACAACGTTGATAAGTTTGAGGATCTTTAGAGTTAGTTCCACAACTAGTTTTACCAAATTTGGTACAATCGCTGTCTACTGAACATTCAATAGAACATCTCTTATACTTGGTTGGATCACTCTTATCATTATTACAGTAAGGGAGATTGGCTGGACAATCAGCGTTAGTCAAACATTCGAATGCACAATTTCCATCAAGTCCACATTTAAAGAAACCTTGAGCTTGACAAGATTCATTCGAAGTACAACTAGTTCCAATACAATATCCATTAACCAAATCACAATTTGGCATGGTTTCAGTACAATTCAAATTACTGGTACATTTTTTCTTTTCGCATCTAGCTCCAAAATAGGAATCTGTGCAATTACAAACTTCTCCATTTAAGGTATACAAACATTCGCCACCATTGACACAGGTCAAGGTTGAACATTTCTTCAAATTTTCACAGTTAGTTCCTTCATATAACTTGGTACAGTTACAAGCATCTTGTGAAATACATGATCCTCTTCCAGAACAAACATTTCCATTATTGGAAGGTGTTCCATGACATTTTGGAATACATTTTTCATAACTGATACAAGAACCTCCATTACAAACAGCTGGATCAGTAGAATTTAATCCACCACAAGTTGGAATTTGGCATTCTTCTCCAACATATCCAGTTGTACAATTACACAAATTAGGAGAAACACATTTACCATTCAAGGAACAAGCTGAGTTGCCAGTCTTTCCAAAACAGATTGGAATAGAACAGTTACTACCAATGTAACCTTCATTACACGTACAAACGTTTCTCTTGTTACAAGCACCATTACCTGAACAAACATTTGAACTAGTACTGTTAATACCAAAACAAGTAATAAAAGTATTTACACATTTACGGTATTGAGAAGTAACATTACGAACAGAACCACAAGTAGTTTCATAATGCTCGAGAGTTGGACAATCTTGATCGACCAAGCATTCATAAGAACAGAAACCATTCAAACAAACTGAAAGTCCATTCGAATAACATTGAGTTTCATTCGAACAAGGAACAGCAGTACAACTTTCTTGAACACAAAGTGGTTTTGTAACGTTATAACAATGAGAATTAGTGAGACACTCCTTTCCACATTGTTTGTAAGTGAATCCATTTGAAAATTCATGGCAATAGGTCTTATCTTGATATAACAAGGCACAATCATCGTTAGTTTCACATTCGAAACCACAAGTACCATCATCAGAACAATTAGAATAACCAGTAATATTCAGAGAGACACAATCAGAACTAGAAGAGCAAACATTTGGAACACAGGTGTTGTTTTGACAAGAAGTTTGATACATTTCATAAATTAATGGATTCAAACAATCACTATCTAATGCACATTGCTTAATTTCACATCGGTCTCCAGTAAATAAAGAACCACATTTACAATATTCAGTACCGTTTTTGATTCTACAAATACCTCCATTGTCACATGTCTTTGTGCATGGAAGAACTGTTTGACATTGCGTTCCAGTGAAGGATTCACCACATTGACACTTGTCTAAACCGATACATGCACCATTTCCGTTACAAGCAGTATCAATTGATTTACCAAAACAGGTAAAAACTTCACAATCAGTTCCAGAGGATCCTGTAAAGCAGCTACATTTTGGATCTTCAAATTTAGAACTACTTGTCAAACCAGTTCTACAGTAACCATTTCCACTACAAACGCTACTGTCATTTGCTAGCTTTCCAGTACAATTAACTTGACATGCACTTAAGGAATTTCCAGCTGTTTTGAAAGAATATCCAGAACAACTAATTGGATAGAGTTCATAAATATTACTTCCCATAGAGTAGAAAACAGATGATGTCTCTCCAAGAGCAAGAGCTGAAGGTGTGCCTGCTAATGATGAAGCAATTGAGTAAGGAATTGTTGACATTCCAATAGTATATAACATAATGTTCGTACCAGCGACAATGTAAAGAATACCATTTTTGGTTACTTTCATATATTCAACAGATGATGAAGTGGTGAAACTGTAATCAACTGAATTGTAACCCTTATAGGCAGAGACAGTTGTTGTGTAGGACACAAATGGTTTTCCATAAATGGCCATTCTACCACCAGGTTTTCCACTAAGAACTCCACCAACAGGACCGTCATTGAAAAGTGAATCAACATTACCATATTGCACGTCACCTTCTCCTGAAAGACGTCCGGCAACATAAACGACAGTATCATCTTCATTCAATGTTATAGAGCTGGTTCTCCAAAAACTGAATTTTCCACCTACTCTGCTCTTGGTAACCAAATCATATCTGAAAACGAAACAGGAAGTTGTAGAAAAGTCCTTCCTGACAGAATAATACATGTATCTTCCATTCTTACTGATGGCCATATTGTAAAATGTGTAACTGGTTGTTAGAATTAAGGTTTTGGTTCCACTAGCAGTCATTGAAACAATTTCGGTATCGAACATTATATAATAAACACCATTGACATATGCCATGTCAACAATGGTGGCACCAGCACTCAATACTTGTTTGGAGGCATAATTGTAGTAACCAGTATGAACTGGCCAGTATGTTGGTAAAACTTGACATGTGTTAGGACCTATACATTTCAATCCATCACAAACTGAACCAATATTTGAAGAATTACTCAAGACTCCACTGCAGGAGGTAACATCACAATTAGATCCAATCCAACCTTCCTTACATTCACAATTGTTCATTCCGACACATTTACCATTTCCAGAACAAGTATTCGAAACTGTTTTAGGAATATTAGAACAACTATAAATATCACAAGCATCACCAAAATATCCACTCTTGCATGAACAATAAGGTTTCATAACATTAGTAATACATGTACCATTTCCACTACAGACATTGACATCTGATGCTAAAATACCATTACATTGTGGTTGGGAACAATTACTGCCTGTCCATCCTTGAGAACAGGAACAATTATTATCAATACAAACACCATGACCAGAACAAACCAAAGTATTTGTACTAAGTAATCCATCACAGGTGTATGTACAAACTTCAGATGAATTAATGTATAAACATTTGGCAGTTTCTGAACAGTTAGTATTGACACAAGGTTGTGAAAATTCACAATTACTTCCAGAACGACCAGTGTTACATTTACAATTATTCATTGAGGTACAAACACCTTCTCCAGAACAAACACCTTGACTAGAAGCTCCAACACCATTACAAGTGTGCTCACAAACATTTGGTCCAATACACTTGACATTAGTACCGTATTTGGCACATCCCAATGTTGATGTAGCAGAAATTCCAGAACATGTGAAATTGAGACATAATGAACCTTCATAACCATCGAAACAAGAACACTTGTCAGTTCTGACACAAGTACCATTTCCACTGCAAACACTTGGATTTGATGAGTTTTTACCATAGCAATACTTGAATTCACATTCAGAACCTGTATAACCAGAGAAACATGAGCAAGCAGAATATAAAGGAGTTGAACTAGTTGACTGTCCAAGTTCTGCATTGAAAACTGTTACAGTTGAGCCAACATTAATTGCACATGATCCTCCTCCATTACAAACATTAGAATCGGATGATATTAAACCATTACATGTAACATCACATGTTGTTTGATCCACTACAGCATTTTGTGAACATCCAGTGACTGTAAGCTTTCTTACTACATTACTAGAATCAGTAAAGTAAATATTTCCATATTCATCAAAAGTCATTTCATAAGAGTAAAGTTGAGCAGAAAGAGCTGGACCGTTATCACCAGTATTTCCATTGGTACCTATACCTGCAATTGTCAATTCAGTGTTAGGAATATATTTTCTAATTGTATTACCGTAATAGGTAAATACTTCTCCTTTTGAATTGAACTTGAAGTAACTATTTTTAAATATGTAGGAAGTAACTGTGGTTGCTGTGGATGGTGTCTTGGTTACATCCCAAGATTTAAGTGTATTCGCATTTAGATGATATATTTTACCATTATAGTAATCAATTGTGCCAGAAGTTATAGTTTTATCACATGTCTGAGTTAATGAAGGAGGGACAGTACAAAAACCTAAATTTGAAGACAGGAAGTAGTATGTGTCAGTTTCAGGGTTGTAGGCCAATGAATACATGGAATAGTAGCTTGTCATTGTTGTCAATTTTGTAGCTGTTCTACTGGCAAATGAATATCTATAAATATTGTTTGCAAAATCAGTTCCTTTACACATGAAAGCAAGATCTCCATTCTTATCAACAATTAAATTAAGCACAGGTTCACAAGAAAGGGTAACAAGTGTGTATATTAAACCATTACTAATGGTTCTAATTCTCTTGTTGTTGCCTTCTGAAACATAAACTGAACCATTCTTGTAAACGATGCCTTGAACACCATAACCAACAGCAGAAATGGCTGGTTGACCATCTCTTGTATAAGATAAAGTACCTGTTCCCGCAATGTTTGTAACTTCTTTGGTCAATTGATTGTAGGATTTTACATAATTTCCATTGATGAAAAGGTATTCACCACTCTTATAGGATGGGGTAATAAAAGAACTTCCAGTTGGAATTGAGAAAATTGTTCTAATGATATTATCCTGGAGGGAAATTGATCGAACATTACCATTAGAATCTGAGAACATGAGACTGCTACCATCTGTTGAAGCATATAACGTTGTAATATTTGAACAAGATGCATTAAGGGCTGGACCTTCATCTCCTAGAACTGTAGCTGTTGGATCACAGGCTAATCTTCTTACATAATTACTACCCCCAGTAGATTCCATTTTGAAAATAACTCCAAAGTTGACAAAGTAAACAGTGTTCATTATTGAGGTAATTAAGGAAGTTGCGCAAATATTAGCATTCAAAGCTAATTTATCCTGTACAGAACTAATACCACTTCCACAAGTACCAGATCCAACATAAGTTGATACACCATTGGTAGAATCATCAATTTTGAGGATCTTGTTGCCTTCAGTTACAACAAAAATCAGAGACGAATTTCTATTGGAAGCGATCATTTTGATTGTTGTACCAGAAAGCATGGTTGCATATACTTCACCTGTGGAAAAACAAGTAGCACAAGCATATTTAACGATGGACTTTGCAGGGTACGCCTTGTAAATGGTGTCTATGGTGGCCACATATGCAAGATTCTTTGAGACTGTTAAAAATTTACAACTGGAACAGGAGATTGTTTTCAATACGCCTGCTACGATTGGTTTTACATAGTTATCAGAATCGAGAATATAGGTTGCTTCAGGAGTTGCATAAGCAGCAATAACACCAGTCATTTTCACTGTCAATGGATCGCCAGTGGTTGGTTCACTGGTATATGAGAATGCAACCTTGTCAATTTTGTAATTAAACAAGGAACCACCACACTTTCTAAAATCTATACATGTTTCACATTTTGTTCCATTGAAACCTTCATTACAAACACAAGTATTTTCACCCATACATGTTCCTTTACCAGAACAAACTTTAGCACTGGTTTCAACAATACCAAAACAAGTATTATGTTTTTGTGAACAATTGGATCCATAATGTGGAGAGGTACATTCACAATTATCTGTTGCAATACACTTTCCATTACCAGAACAAACATTAGAGTTATTAGAAAGAATGCCATCACATCTATGAACACAAATTTCTACACCTTTAGAATAAGAACATTCATTACATGCGGAACATGGTCGAGAGAATTCACACTCATCACCAAATCTACCATTGGAACATGAACAATTATTTTCAGCAACACAAACACCTTCTCCAGAACAAACATTTGGACTAGATGCTCCTACAGCATAACATGTATGTTCACAAACATCTGGACCAATGCACTTAACTTCTGAACCGAATTCACTACAAACATCTGGCAATGCTCCAGAAACATTGAAGCATATATAATCTGTACATTGTGGACCAGACCAACCTTCATTACAGGAACAATTATTTGAGGAAATACATGTTCCATTTCCTCCACATACAGTTGGATCACTATCTGCCTTATTAAAACAGTGAATAGTTGTACAATCAGAACCATAAAATCCTGAATCACAATTACATGTGGTACTAGTATTTGAAGTAATAGCACAAATACCATTACCACCACAAACAGTAGGATCTGATTCAGACAATCCATTACAGGTAATTTCACATGTTGTACTATTGACATATGAGTTATCCATACATCCAATAACAGAGAGCTTTCTAACAACATGATTAAATCCTTCACACATGAAAATGTCACCAAATTCATTAAATGCCAATGATCTAACACCATCAACAAGAGCTTTTGTGGAAGGTCCACCATCACCTGAATAGCCATATGCATCTCCACCAACAAGTGTAAATTTTCCACCATTAGCATACTTTACAACATCACTAGAAGAATACAGAAACATTTCTCCTCTAGAGTTGAATTGAATACCAGAATAGGAGGATGAAACAATCATAATCTCTTGAGTTGAGAATG